AAAAACAGAAGATTATATTATAAGTAATTCAGGAACTGAAATGCATGGGTGCTATGAATATATATGCTGTTTATTGTGTAAATGAGACTTTTATTCAAGAATTGAATGCTTCTTTTTTGTCATTTTATTGAGGTGCTAAAAGTTTTGACTGAACCATATTTTGTTTACAAAAATAAAATATAACTTTAGAAATGCCTTAGCCAATCAAAATTACAGAATCCAATGTAACTTCTGTGTAATGTGATAATATTTAATTATTGTAAGCAATAAACTTTGTTAGTACACATGCAAGACATGATGTTGAATGTATATTTATAAGACACCTTTTTCTATATATCTTTTTGTTTGGTGGCTGTCTTTTTGAATTATATCTTGTTTTTGGTAATACTCAGAAATTTAGAGCCTTTAGGACTTATCTCAATAGAAACTATATCTGCATGTCAAGTTACTGCATACATCTCCTACATTCGCAACACATATTTTAAAGAAGCACAAATTGAAACAAAATTCACATACGTAAACCTTTGGTTTGTTTGTCTGTTGGTATTTAATGTTTTTCTTTCAACTTCCTTATCTACCATGTTTGTTTTGGTGGAGGAAACCAGAATACTCGGGAAAGACCCACTGACCTTAAGATGGAAATCCTTATCATTTGAGATTGGAGTTGAACTCACATCGCTGGAGTGTGGAACTCACAACTTCAAAGGTTACCTGCGAATTAGACCACTCAGCCAGTGATCGATCCCCACCTCTCATATGTAAACAGATATTTTCAAAAAGTTATATATGTTGTTTTTTTTTAATTTTCGTAACAATTTTTGTGTTCTTTTTATAAATAGATTCAAATGACCATGAATAAGTTTGAAGTGTAATTTTCAATCACATGATCTGATTTGGGGTAGATAATGAACTCTAGAAATAAACCACATTAAGGTCACTATTGCAGAAAAACAGTGATAAAAACAATGTATATGTGTTAGTTGCTCATTTGTAAAACATGACAATGGACAATGTGTATGCCAGATATTTGTTAACAATCACTTCATGTATCTAGAAAGTTTCCTTCCCATGTCAACATATACAATTTTACTGTAGACAAATTTTCAGTTTTACTTCTTGACTTTTCAGTTACTTATTGTATTTAAAAAAATATTTGACGTTTAATACGTATTCAATTAACAGTCTCAATGAGTTGATTTTGGTCGGTTAAATTTTCCTTCCTAGAAGAAGTACTGTAAATTCAGAAATTAGTGGGTGCATTTATTATTGCAAATCACTGATTACTGGTAAAATGTGAGATCTAAGTAATGTGATTGCTAATATTATATGAAGGAAGGTCACTACAGAAATTATGAATTGGAGTTTATATTATTGCAAACCTGAAAATGTCACATTTTTTTCACATTAATTAAATCGGTGTATTAATTTCACATTTTACAGTACCATCTCATGATAGTACTTTCTTCATATTATCATTACTTTCTTCATATTATCATGTGTGAATAAGCAAGAATGAATGTTACAAAGTTATAGTTGTTTTATAATTTATAAATTTTTTATATAATTTTATCATTATAGAAATTATAGAGTAAATTTTAACCAGCTTATAAATCATGTATATGAGTATGAGGGTAAAATTATAATCATATTAATTGATAGTTTTTTGTCTCTTTTGATTTCGGGCATGGCATGTACCAATTGATACATGAAAACTACTGAATTCATGATTTTTAATACATTTGTTTTTCTATGTTTTCCATTTTTTCTACATGTGGTTATATACACTGGAAAAAAATATAGAAAAAAGGGTGGAGATACAGAGTGCAATTAAAAACCATAAGTGACACAATCCCAGCTGAACAGACAAGAAAAGAGATAAACACACAAAGGACATAAGAAAAACACTACAAATAAGGGATTCACCCCTGAAATAAAACAAGAAATAAACTCAGGAAGGGTAGGTACTTCCTGTTTAAGTTACAGGTATAACCTGAAAATTACAAGACCATGTCCTAGAAAAATAATCAGTCATATGGACAACTTTATGTAAGAAAAACATTACAAATAAGGGATTCACCTCTGAAGGTATAAAACCACTAATTCATAGCCCATTGCTTTCTATGTTAAATTCTGCAATTTTAAGCATTAATGGCCACATTATCTGCAGTTCAAATAAAGCAGCAGTCATTTCATGTCAAAACTATACCTTATACTGACTTGTGCTGAAAGATTAAACATATCTTTAATTGCTTATTAGAGCGAACTGGTTCCAGAAAGTTTGATAGTACAAAAACAGGTACTTCTGATCTGAACAACAGGGCAAATGTGCCCTCCCATTATAATTTTATATACTTCTTTATTAATCAAAAGAAACTTTTAACAAGGGTTCTACAGTGATTCTAAATCCCATAGCTTCCATTTGATATCGAAACTACACAAATATTTCACCTATTGACAAAGTTACAGCTATGCGGAGGAACTATTTTGTTTAAGATATGTACTACTTTATTGTATGTTCTCTCCGACCGGGCCTTAATTAGTGGTTCTATACCTTAAACAAAACAAGAAATGAACTTAGGAAGAGTAAGCACTTCCTGTTTAAGTTACAGATATAACCTGAAAGACCTTTTCAAAAAGACAACTTTTCATAATCATTCGTTCGCATAACATCATATGCTGAGGACCTAAAAAGTTACATGTTAGTGCAGTTTATATTGTTCATTGTTGATTGTGTTTTATGTCCTGTCTTAGGTTATTACGAGTTGTTTTTCCCGTTATAGAATATCTGTTTCACAGATGAAGACTGATATGTTCGAATTGTTGTTACCACAATCTTGATATCTTTTCCTCGAATATGACTAAACGAATTAGACTTATCACCGGGTTTATACTTACTCGAGCAACACGATGGGTGCCACATGTGGAGCAGGTTCTGCTTACCCTTCAGTAGGACCTGAGATCACACCGGTTTTGGTGGCGTTTGTGTTGCTTAGTCTTTATTTTTCTTATGTTGTGTTAAGTGTACTGTTGTTTGTCTTTTCGTCGTTAAAAAAATTAATAACTTTCTTAAACTATCCTGGATTTGTACCAAACTTGGACAGAATAAAATTGAGAATGGGAATTGGGAATGTGTCAAAGAGACAACGACCCGACAATAGAGCAGACAACAGCCGAAGGCCACCAATGGGTCTTCAATGCAGCGAGAAACTCCCGCACCCGGAGGCGTCCTTCAGCTGGCCCCTAAACAAGTATGTATACTAGTTCAGTGATAATGGACGTCATACTAAATTCTAAATTATACACAAGAAACTAAAATTAAAAATGATACAAGACTAAAAAAGGCCAGAGGCTCCTGACTTGGGACAGGCGCAAAAATGCGGCGGGGTTAAACATGTTTTTTGAGATCTCAACCCTCCCCCTATATCTCTAGCCAATGTAGAAAAAAAATGTACAACAGTACGCACAGTAAAACTCAGTTTAAGAGAAGTCCGATTCCGATGTCAGAATAGGAAACAAAAGAAAATAAAAATGACAATAATACATAAATAACAACAGACTACTAGCAGTTACTGACATGTCAGCTCTAGACCTCAATTAAACTGATTGAAAGATTATGTCTTCATCATATGAATATCAGGTACAATCCCTCCTGTTAGGGGTTTAGTATTATACCGTCATAAAATATATGAGAAGAACATAACCCGTGTCATGCCAACAACTGGTTTTAGAATAAATATGTTTAATTCCGATGCAAAGACCCTATAAGTGAATCAATATTAAAGCCAAAATATGCAGTCTTTAATGACCTGACAACAGTATCGTAACTATATCCCTTCTTAATAAGTCTGTTTAAAGGTTTTGTTAGCTTTTGAGGTGAATACTGACATTTTTGTGCTTTGTAAAGAATATTACCATAAAAGATTGGATGTGAAATACCCGAACGTATAAGATGTCTGCATGTTGAGAAGCTTGCTTATGATCAAAAGCTAGTACCAAGAAGGACATTTTGTAAAAATTTATTTTCTGTTTTTCCGTATATTACTTAAACATGGACTTAGTTTTTCTTCCAGTTAACATTACATACAGTCTGCTGTTAAAGTTTTTAAAACATTTATTAGATTCATAAACCATCCTGGATTTTTTTACCAAACTTGGACAGAAGCTTCTTACAATCAAAAGATAGTATCTAGAGGAAAATATTTAATATTTTTCCCCATTTTTGTTAAGCCTGCGACTAACAGCAAAAGTAGGCGAGACACTGGGTTCCGCGGAACCTTTACGAATTTTATGTTTTAATAATCAAAGTTCTGAAGCGGCCATACTTAGTTATTTTGTGTCTGTTCAAACAACGGACTCATTTATTCTGAAACAACAAACAAACAAAAAGCAAATAAGGCTCAGTTCAACCAGTGAAGACCACATTCAGAATGTAGCGTGGTTAAACTTGAGTCTGAGCACACCTTCCCATAAATTAGGTCAATGGTAAAACAGTATAACATAAAAACAAACTAAAAATATCATTTGAAAAGGGCTGACTCATTAGATTAGCACCAAACATGTATTAAAAAGACACCAAACACAAGGAAACAATCTAAGAGTACTCACAGTTACTGAAGGCTAGTTCAAAGACAATTCCAATTAATAAATAATGTTTCCGCAGACTAAATTTTCAATCAGTACTCATGCTGCGGATTTAGTTTAAAGATGGTTTAGACAATCTAAGGATAGCATGACCTTGTGAAAATAGCAAAATATAAGTTTCTACAGTATGTCGATACTAATGTCTAAACAGTATAGCCATTCATCTTGAATTATGGTTAATCTAAGAATAAGATGTGGTATGATTGCCAATGAGACAACTATCCACCAGAGACCAAATAACATGGAAGTTTAGAACTATAGTCAATTGGATGTGTACCCACGTCTTACTCAATCCTCATTATCAAAAATATGATTAGTAGGTACATTACTGATGCATGGGTGTTACTTAAATTGATTGGTTTTATGTTGGATTTATTCCTCCTCATAACGCCTTTATTTCATTGTGAGGAGAATTGTTTTTTAATATATGCATATGGTATAACACATTATATCAATTAATGACTATATGTTTATATTAGATATTTGCCTGCAGTAACAACAGACATAGCTATCATTTTTCAAGCAAAATACAAAGGTCTACTCTGTCTGATCCGTTTCCTACAAATTGGACATTGTTTCTCTTTTAACTTGTCGCTACAGTCTTTACAGCAGCATACATGCATACATGGCAAAAATGTGACTTCTACTGGATTATCAAAACATATTTTACACAGGTATTTGTCATCCGTATTTTCCCCTGATTTCTGATTTTCTTTTCCAACACTCTCAATTTCTGAAAAAGAATAAAAAGAATAATTCAAATTCAGATATCTAAAATTGTCAGAACTCATCGATATTTATTACGATTTTTTTTAACTTGCTCACTGTTTATCTGCGTTTTGCAATGATTTGTTAAAATATGAACTACATAAGATAATGAAAAGGAATAATTCTTATATGTTGAGTGCCAACAAACAGAAAAATGCAGTTTGGTTTGAGATTTGGATAGACAAAATCTGGCGAATTGCATTTATTGTTGACTTACATCACTAGATGAATTTGGCTATTACCTTAGGTCCTTTTTAGTCGTATAGCTCTTCAACTGTTCGGGTTTTTATACTTTTTTAGCTTTCAAATATCTAGAATAGCGCGTCCGACGAATGAGATTTATAAAAGTGTTGTTTTAATTTTTAGTGGTATTTAGACTCGAATCGATCCCACACGTATAACAATGTATTCTATGTCAATCGGACATTGTTCCCAGTTTAGGAAACGGCGGACAGTTGATTCATTCATGCAGCAGTACATGCTTAATAAAGGCAATAGTAGTATACCGCTGTTCAATAGTCATCAAACGATTTAACTGAAACAAATCCGGGTCACAAACCAACACCGAGAGAAACACATCAACTATAAGAGGGAAACAACAGAACAATAAAAACACTTAACTGCTACAACAACAAACGCCAACATACATAGAAACGAACTATTTGATAACAATTGTCATATTCCTGACTTGGTACAGGAAATATTAAGAACAAATGGTGGTTTGAACCTGGTTTTATGGCTTACACTGTCAATGCAAGTGGTCACACTCCTTTCGGATTTCACACGACTTACATTTATTTTCCCTTAAATGGTTGTTTATTCCATACCTGCATTATTAGATATTTTATTCTTCTTATACACCTTTTTTTACAAACTCAGACCATAAATAAGTTCTACGTAATACATGTATTATAAATTCTGTTTCAAATCAGCGCTTTAAAACATTGATGAAGCTTATTAGAATAAAATGAATGCATTACTGATTTTAGTTTTAATATTAACCCAGGTCTGCCCGTAATATCAGATTTGACATCATCATAATCTTTCAATCAGTGTAATTGAGGTCTGCAGCTGGCATGTCAGTAAATGCTAGAAGTCCTTTGTTAATTTATGTATCATTTTTATTTTGCTTAGTTTCTTTTGTTACCTTTTCTGATATCGGACTTGGACTTCTTTTAAACTGAGTTTTACTGTGCGTATTGTTTTTTTCTACATTGGCTAGAGGTATAGGGGGAGGTTTTAGATCTCACAAAACATGTTTAACCCCGCCGCATTTTTGCGCCTGTACCAAGTCAGGAGCCTCTGGCATTTGTTAGTCTTGTATGGTTTTTAATTTTAGTTCAATTATATGTTTTGGAGTTTAGTATATGACGTCCATTTTCACTGAACTAGTACACATTTGTTATTAGAGGCCAGCTGAAGTCCGCCTCCGGGTGCGGGATTTTCTCATTGGTGGACTTCGGCTGTTTTCTGCTCTTTGGTCGAGTTGTCTCTTTGACACATTACCCATTACCATTCTCAATTTTACTGGAGTTATGTTTTTTATACTTTTTGTTATTTGTCTCTCAAATATATGTTTTCCTTTGACATGTTTGAAAAGAATGCAAATAGAAAGAATGAAATACAGAAAAATACCTTTTGCAATCAATGGTTCCGCTACTAGTTCAGAGGTGTAACCCGTTGCACCTTGTATGGCCAATTGGCTGTCTTCAATTTCTCCAAACTGTTGTACTTCATTCACACTATGTCCAATGTTGTCTACATTTAAAGGCATAGTTGAAAAATTTTTTTTTTCTGTTACTTGGTGCTTGATCTTAATCAATGTTATGATTTTGTATATCTTTGATTTTAAATAAAATTTCTAATTATTCTGAAATGTTCGCCCTTTAAGAATCTAATGCATTCTAGGTAATATTTTCAAAAGCGTACACCGAAATGTTGTGATTGGTTAAAATATTCTAAATAACGGAAACTAAACCAATGACGTAGCGTTGTTTTCTTTTTGGTGTACGAACAATGAGATTACCCATAGTCTTTTAGATTCTGAAAAGGCGAATTGACCCGAGGACACTGGTTCAGGAGTTCACTGAATGGAAAAATGCAATTCATTTGTAGATTCCTTATTTCAACATTATATTTTGTGGTATTGACCTTCGTCTAAATTCAAAAACTTTCATGATTTTTTTTTATTAAATCAAATACTATGATACATAAATGAAATTAACACAGGTAATAAGCTTTTATAATGAACTGTACTAAGAAGCGAAGACAGCTGTCCAATTTTGCGATCTTCATTTTTTTTAAGTTACTTCTCACATTTCATTGAAATTTTTATCTTTCGATTCACAGTAAAGGCAACAGTAGTATACCGCTGTTCATAAGTTATAAATTGATAATTGAGAGAAAACAAAAAATGTGTTATTCGATGTTTAATACTACATAGTATGATGACTACGACAAGTTAGGAACAACAATACTTTACGTTCTCAAATCAATTAAGAGGGTACCATTAAAAGTAACACAAAAAAATCTGATAGATTCGCATGAACTCTAAAAGGAGAGAGACCGGTTAAGATGACTGGGAAAGTGTCGGTTTCAGTCGTTTTTCTTTATAAGTCCCTCTTGCGAAGTTCCTATTGGATGCATTTGGTTGTTTAACCCCTGTATATTAAACAGTTCCTAACGTTTCAACGTATTTGTACAAATGTTCAGGTTTTAGCAATCCTGAAAACGTAAACTTAAAAATTTCTCAGACGCACCAAATAAATAAAGTGTTATTATCACTTTGGAACAGTATTTGCGAAAAAAAATATTAGTAACCTTATTCATCAAACTAGCACGATATAAACTACGTTTCAGAAAAGTATTGAAAATTATACTTTAATAATATGAATAATAGCAATAAGTTTCAAATAGTTTTCGGGCTTTTCTGAAAGTAACACAATACTTTATCCTGATGGGCACCTTAGATCATCGCAATGTTTGGTGGGATTTGTGTTGCTCAGTCTATAGGTCTTATGAAGTGTTTTACAGACTTGTCTTTTGCGAAACATTTGGGTTTTGTTTTGACATGGCGTTGCCAATTAAATTTCTACTAATGAGCATTCAATGTTCCTTTGGTATCTTCCGCCTTTTATATATATTACATAAACATATTGTCATTCTTTTTAAATTAAAAATTAAAATAGCATTTTGTCTGGCAATGTATGTTTGAAATTGACGAGAGACGTTAATAGTTTTACTGCAAATGTATCAATGATTTCTGTATATATTTATCTCAACTTTATATGTTCTAGTTATCGACAAACATGAGATCATGCAACGCCAGCTGATGTTGTAAAACCGATACGTTCTTCTGTTTACAAGCTCGGCTGATAAGTGAAAAAATCATTCACATTTGTAAAAAAAAACTGACGTAGAGACTTCTTTGGGTATATGTTTTCGATAAATCCACCGGAAAATGAAAATAACGGCAATGTTTTCCAAGATGGCCGCCATTCTAGGTAATTATAACTGTTTTATCAATTTGTAATTAATATGATATATATATATATATATGTTTTGTAATTTTTTTCGTAGTTTTCTCTCTTTATTTTTACTCAAATTAAAGAACTAGTCATGTTTCACAGTTGCATTTACACAGAGGTGTACAAGGAAAACTAAATCGATAATACAAGAACATGTCGCGACATTAGTTTTGCAGCCACACTTCGTAAACATGGTAAAAGAGAGACGAAAGATACAAGAGGGACATTTAAAGACAAACGATAGTACACAAAACACAACATAGAAAACTAATGACTAAGCAACACAAACCCAACAAAAAACTGGGGGTGATATCAGGTGCTTCGGAAGGATAAGCAGATCCTGCTCCAAATTGGGCACACATTGTGTTGCTCATGTTAGTACACACCTGGTAATAAGTCTACTTAGGTAGGTCACATTCGTGAAAAGGGGACAGGATTGTAGTTACGACATTCGGAACATATCCGCTATCATCCGTGAAACGGATATTCCATAATTGTCAGCCAACTCGTGATATCGTCTGTAAAATTTATGAACGGATGATTCCAACTTCACCACTTCGAACTCTTGATTTAAATGCTTCCTCGTGAGCAGCAACCCTCTAACAAGGAAATCATGATAGGAAATATAGGACCTGGAATATCGTATCAACTGGGAAAGCTGTTGGTGGAAGTGCTGTCCAAATGATTTACCACAAATGTCATATAGATTTCTCAACAGCAGTCAGCAGGGCGTTCGTTTTCCATTTGACATATAGTTGATTGACCCCATATGCAACCTGCTTGGTATGCAGCACGTGGAACATGTTAATTATGAGCTGCTCGTGTCTGAGAATTTATTCATATGACCTCTGTTTACGTCGAGGAAACAATCCCAGTCTTACTTTTTCAATACTATCAATGGTACTAGATCTGTAATACCTAGTGACTACGAACCTTTCGAGAAGATATTGATCTTCCTTGTCAATTGTTGGTGGGTACTGGCTAAGTTTTATATAAACAGTAGACGCATCGGGGCATACATTCCATCTTTGACATGTACTCTTTTTCCTTTTACCACGTAATGCAGATATGATATCACAGCCAGTAAAACATGAAAATATAGAAAGCTCTTGGAATTTTCTGGGTCATTTGACTCACCTATATCATGTATGGGAATCCACGTCAGGTTTTGTCCTTGACAAAATGCGACCAACAGCTTTTTTTGCAAAATTGACAAACAACTGACCGCAAAGCCAAGGACAGCAGTGTTGCTGCCTCTAATCATAATGATTGTGTTACCATCTGCTACAGTATTGTGCACGTAAGAAAATTCAGGTAGATATAAGAAGATGTGGTATGAGTGCCAATGAGACAACTCTCCATCCAAGTCACAATTTGTAAAAGTAATCCATTATAGGTCAACGTACGGTCTTCAATACGGAGCCTTGGCTCACACCGAACAGCAAGCTATAAAGGGCCCCAACAATGACTAGTGTAAATCATTCAAACGGGAAAACCAACGGTCTAATCTATATAAAAAACGAGAAACGAGAAACATTTATGAACCACATCAACAAACGACAACCACTGAACATCAGGTTCCTGACTTAGGACAAGTGCAAACAAATGCAGCGAGTTTAAACGTTTTAATAGGTACCAATCCTTCATTCTTAGCTGAAACAATAGTGTAACATCATAACATAGAAAGACACACTATAAAATATCAATTGAAATAGCTTAACTCAATCAAAAGACATACACTGAACGAATAAATTTAATCTATGACACAATGTAAATAAAAAATCTATAAAAATAAGGGGTGAGATGTTAAACAATATCAGAAAGACGACCATAACCTTGGACAAAATGCCGCAAAAAAAAACAAAGGAAATAATTTTGTTGTAAGGTATATTTTTACAAAATAAATAATTTTGTTGTTCTAAGTACGAGAACAGAAGTGCAAATTTATTGTCATACCATACACGTATCAAAGCTTGTATATAATAAAAATAAAGAGACGAGATATAACACTAAATAAGTAAACATTAAAAAACAAAAAATCATTACAAATTGTATCAACAGGTCAAATTAACACGAAAGTACGATTTGAGAGTACTTGCAGTTACTGAAAGCTAGCTAAAAGCCAAAAATAATTAATGATAAAAAATCATGCATTAGAGACTAAAATCAACTACAAAAACATCCAAGGGATTTAGTATTTTAACGTCATGAACAGTCAAGGAAGACATGACTAGTACAATGCAAAAAAATAAAAGTATAGGCAGTAGGAGTTAACCTCTATATAGAAAATGAACGTGAATGTGTATTAAGACATTAAAAAAAAAAAAAAAAAAAAAAAGTTTGAAAAAGAATAAAAATTTAGTTATGTTTTAAATTGCTGATGACAAAATCGATATTTGTGCCAATGTAAACTATATTCAAAGATCTAATTACAAGATTGGTAAGATAACCTTTACTAATAAGTTTGTTTAAAGGTTCGATGAGTTTACACGGATCATATAGTGATTTCCACGCTTTTAGTACAATATTACCGTAAAATTTAGGATGTGATATACTAGTACCGTTTTTAAAGTTTTCTACAGGTGCAGCCAAATTTACTAATCAAATCAATGTATTTATGAAAAAATTAAGTAAAAATGTTAAGTAATTTATGGTAACGAAATCCCTGACTTAATAATTTACTAGTTATGCAATGATTACGTTCGTTAAAATCTTTGACATCACTACACACACGGACATAACGAAAGAGTTGGGATATATAAACACCGTATGAAGGAGCCAAAGGAACATTGCCGTCTAAAAAAGGAAAATTTAACAATAGGGAATGAAACACGTCTCTTTTGTCGTAAATTTTAGTATGGAGTTTCCCTTAAGAAATTGAAATGTCTAAATCTAGAAAAAAACAACTACTGCTGTTTACTTGTTTATTTGTCTACCTCCTCGTGATTGCAATGTTTGGGTCCTTTAAGACTTATTGACTGATTAAAGTCAACATTCTCTTTTTAAGGGACTATAACTGTTTTATTTCGACACATCTTCACAATTTCATTCACCAGACATTTAAATAGTCCAGTCTTGTTGCTATTGTCTCTCATGAAGCTACGCCGATTTTGTGAAAATTCACTTTGTCAGTCACACCGCGTCTATCGCATGTGACTTTGATCATGTTTCAGCTTTATAACCAGAATATGGCAAAAACAATTTCTGTTATCGTGTGAGTAAAACTGTATGTTTTTACTTTTGGAACTATCTCTAGTGCAGCAAATTCTTTAAAATCCTCGATATCATTGGAGGCAATGCATTGATCTAGTTGATTAAAGCCGATCCGTCCTACATTATGACGGCAGCTTCTTGTGCAGCATCAGGAGGAGTCTCCAGAATTACCACAAGCTGCGATTTCTGACAGCTATAAAGTGAGAAAACAGAGTGTCGACATTCTTCCTTTATTTTTTTTTCCTTTGAATCACCTGCTTTCGGTTCTGGCTTTTGACGAAAGAAATCTTGTTCTTCTTGATTTCCTGATAAGATAAACACTCCTCTTTATCCAGCTCTTTCTGGAACTCATTAAAGCGAGTTTTACCATTTTTATAATGGGAAAGAACCATGTCAGCAGCACTAGGATGGGCAATACTTTTTGTAACCAGTGTAAAAAGATCATCAGTTTCTTCCATAAATGTATTGCCCATATCTTTCATAGCACATGTAACAGTGTACAGCTTCTTTACTTTATCCGAAAAAGTCTTTTATTTGTGTGCTGTCTGTTCGTGATGTCTTATATTTTCATTGGCACCCTTAGTTTCAGATGCCGATTCATACTAAGCAACCAAGTGGCGGACTTCAGGTCCGGTTCCCATCCACCGACGTAGTGCAGATTAGTATTCTGTCACACAAATGGCACCACCATCACCTTTGATAACAGAAACCGCTTTCTCTTAAGCATGGACTACACCCAACGCGGAAAATGCATCTGATTTGCGGCATTCTTGAAAATGGCCGCCATTTTTAAAGAAGGAGGCTTACGGGTCTTTTTCAAACAAGTATCCTAAGGGGCGTACCCATACACATGTTAATGCTTGTGAATGAATTTTCTGAATATTGACTTAATCTACCATGCTATACGTGATAAATTATAAGTAAAAGTTTTTGAAATGAAAACGATGTATAACTTAATTGGTATGTGAATATCGTTAGCAGATTAATTTCCAATCATACACCAATTCGTTATTATATAACCAGGCTATCATAGAAGAGCGTTTGCCGTCAAATTGTACATTAAATCAAAATTATTTTAAGAAGAAAACAGAAAGACAATCAACAACAAAATATTTTAAAAACTTGTAGCAAAGCATATTTTTGATATATGTAAGAATTATTTTTCATTGTTTCATACGTTCATGTTCAGATTCAGTCTTGATGTCAAAATGCGATCATATTCGGTCGAATTTGTCATCTTTCTTTTAAGTCTTAATGATTGTATGCATGGTTGTTTTTTATAAATGATTTGACAAAAGATTGCATTGCAAATTTAATGACGTGACTTTATGTTAACAAAACAAAAAAGAGTGCTAAATGTATTTACCATTGTTTTCAGATGTTCTGGAATCAATATCTCTCTCCTGATAAACTTGCTGCAAAACACAAATTCAGAATTCTGGTTTTAAAGTTAATATAACTATATCAAATCTTAATATAACAACTAATTATCGTTGATTTCTAAGATCTGCTTTGATTTTTGTGATTTTTACCATATTACGCTACTCGAGTGATATTGGTTAGTTGAATAGAAAGAGAATGTTTGACGTCATAAGCCTTTGTCATTGACAATGCCTATGAAAACAGCGAAAATCAGATAATCAATGGTGTCTCAAACTCAAAGACTTTTTAGCAGAAAAAGGTACCGAACTCCATGGAAAATTCTAAATGGAAAGTGCATTTATCAAATGACAATATCAAAAGCTCAAAGATATCAAACGACTTGGTAAAGGCATTTCCTGATATAAAAAAAATGTGTTTATTAAACCTGGTTTTATAGCTATCTAATCCTCTCATTTGTATGACAGTTGAATAAAATTCTCTATATTGACAACAATTTGTAAACAAAACAAAAAGACATAATTGGAAAAAATGTCTAAAATATGTCAACACAGAAAAACAAAATGGCATATAGACAAAGCACATAAGAAAAATTGAAATACAACAATACAAAAAAGGACCATAGCACAATAACACAAGGGTTATTGGTAAAAGATAAATAGAATATATATATATATATATATATACTAAGGATTTTCTTATCCCAGGTATAGATTACCTTAGCCGTATTTGGCACAACATTTTGGAATTGTTGGTCCTCAATGCTCTTGAACTTTAAACTTGTTTGTCACGAAAACATGTTGCCAGTGACTTGAAACACTGATACATTTTATCGGTCAATTAATTCATGATGGTGACCCGAAAATTTAAGTAATGTCGATTTTAGTAGTTCTTCTTCATATCTTTGTTGGAGCAGTTTATGTGTAATAGGAAAATGCAGTTTTGTTTGTCTGTTTTGATAATAATAATAATATGCATGATTTTTTTTTTATTAGTTGTTTGTGGCTTTGAACTAGCTGTCAGTAACTGCGAGTACTCTCAGATCTGTACTTGCGGTATGGGCTTTGCTCATTGCTGAAAGCCGTACCGTGACCTATAGTTGTTAATATCCGTGTCATTTGGTTTCTTGCAAAGAGTTTTTTCATTGGCAATCATACCGCATCTTCTTTTTTTTATAATATACAACTCTGCATTTTGGCTTTGGAATTGAAACCATATCAAATAATGAAAATCATGTATTATATTTTTGGTTTGCAGAAGCTGATACAATAGGCCACGACAAATATTCTGCAGCTAAAACATGTTTTGCCTTATACAATAGTTATAATTTGTGATAATGTATTCTCTTTGCAATCGTCACAATGTCGCATCCGTGAAATAACTCGCTAGAAGGTTTGCTGTAATTATGTTCGTCTAACATTATTTTTGCTGTCCCCTTTTGCAGTTTTAGTAAACTATCTAATATATAGTTGTTGTCAGTTCCTCCATATTGAACACCAATATTCTAAATGGGGTAAAAAGTAATCATTATAAAACATTCTTTAGTTTTCTATGTAGTTTTGAGGACTGTTGATTGGCTTTTCGTCGTTTCAAATTTCATGTGTTATGGAAGTATCTTCATCTGATTGATTTCATCGTCGCTTTTGTATCTTCCGACTCTAGATTCCAGCTGTTGCACAATGCATTAGTTGTATATATATTATATTTTTTTCTGTTTTGTATTAAATTACTATTAAGATCGTTTTGTTACATCTGTGATCAATTTATTTGGCAATCGCCAATGGCAGTCAGCAGGGTTTAAGAACATCCGTTGTTCGACCTGTTAGTCAAATGCGTTTTGTTAAAATATACTTTTTCACTTTTTTGGTCTTTTGGAAAATGTTGTTTGTGCTGTATTTAGACCCCTTTAACAAGAAATTTGTTTTACATGCACACGTATAAAAATTGCGGTTTTTATCCAACGCAATCATAGGTCTGAACGTTGTTTTCAATTTAGACTTGTTTATATTTTTTCGTTTGGGCTTGTATTATATTTTCCTTCGGGTTTATATGATCCGTTCATCCTATTTCGACTCTTTAAAATTCAAGAGTCTATCCTAAATTAAGGTAAATTATATGGCCTTCCAAATACCGTTTCGATCCCTAACATCACTGAAGAGACATTAATTGACGAAATCCGGATATGGTGTACAAATTTTTGTACCTCATGGTTGTGGTATACCATCTTTTCCACAAGTTTATTTTTTTCTGTTTTGTATTAAATTACTATTAAGATCATTTTGTTACATCTGTGATCAATTTATTTGGCAATCGCCAATGGCAGTCAGCAGGGTTTAAGGACATCCGTTGTTCGACCTGTTAGTCAAATGCGTTTTGTTAAAATATACTTTTTCACTTTTTTGGTCTTTTGGAAAATGTTGTTTGTGCTGTATTTAGACCCCTTTAACAAGAAATTTGTTTTACATGCACACGTATAAAAATTGCGGTTTTTATCCAACGCAATCATAGGTCTGAACGTTGTTTTCAATTTAGACTTGTTTATATTTTTTCGTTTGGGCTTGTATTATATTTTCCTTCGGGTTTATATGATCCGTTCATCCTATTTCGACTCTTTAAAATTCAAGAGTCTATCCTAAATTGAGGTAAATTATATGGCCTTCCAAATACCGTTTCGATCCCTAACATCACTGAAGAGACATTAATTGTCGAAATCCGGATATGGTGTACAAATTTTTGCACCTCATGGTTGTGGTATACCATCTTTTCCACAAGTTTATTTTTTTCTGTTTTGTATTAAATTACTATTAAGATCATTTTGTTACATCTATGATCAATTTATTTGGCAATCGCCAATGGCAGTCAGCAGGGTTTAAGAACATCCGTTGTTCGACCTGTTAGTCAAATGCGTTTTGTTAAAATATACTTTTTCACTTTTTTGGTCTTTTGGAAAATGTTGTTTGTGCTGTATTTAGACCCCTTTAACAAGAAATTTGTTTTACATGCACACGTATAAAAATTGCGGTTTTTATCCAACGCAATCATAGGTCTGAACGTTGTTTTCAATTTAGACTTGTTAATATTTTTTCGTTTGGGCTTGTATTATATTTTCCTTTGGGTTTATATGATCCGTTCATCCTATTTCGACTCTTTAAAATTCAAGAGTCTATCCTAAATTGAGGTAAATTATATGGCCTTCCAAATACCGTTTCGATCCCTAACATCACTGAAGAGACATTAATTGTCGAAATCCGGATATGGTGTACAAATTTTTGCACCTCATGGTTGTGGTATACCATCTTTTCCACAAGTTTATTTTTTTCTGTTTTGTATTAAATTACTATTAAGATCATTTTGTTACATCTGTGATCAATTTATTTGGCAATCGCCAATGGCAGTCAGCAGGGTTTAAGAACATCCGTTGTTCGACCTGTTAGTCAAATGCGTTTTGTTAAAATATACTTTTTCACTTTTTTGGTCTTTTGGAAAATGTTGTTTGTGCTGTATTTAGACCCCTTTAACAAGAAATTTGTTTTACATGCACACGTATAAAAATTGCGGTTTTTATCCAACGCAATCATAGGTCTGAACGTTGTTTTCAATTTAGACTTGTTTATATTTTTTCGTTTGGGCTTGTATTATATTTTCCTTCGGGTTTATATGATCCGTTCATCCTATTTCGACTCTTTAAAATTCAAGAGTCTATCCTAAATTAAGGTAAATTATATGGCCTTCCAAATACCGTTTCGATCCCTAACATCACTGAAGAGACATTAATTGACGAAATCCGGATATGGTGTACAAATTTTTGCACCTCATAGTTGTGGTATACCATCTTTTCCACAAGTTTATTTTTTTCTGTTTTGTATTAAATTACTATTAAGATCATTTTGTTACATCTGTGATCAATTTATTTGGCAATCGCCAATGGCAGTCAGCAGGGTTTAAGGACATCCGTTGTTCGACCTGTTAGTCAAATGCGTTTTGTTAAAATATACTTTTTCACTTTTTTGGTCTTTTGGAAAATGTTGTTTGTGCTGTATTTAGACCCCTTTAACAAGAAATTTGTTTTACATGCACACGTATAAAAATTGCGGTTTTTATCCAACGCAATCATAGGTCTGAACGTTGTTTTCAATTTAGACTTGTTTATATTTTTTCGTTTGGGCTTGTATTATATTTTCCTTCGGGTTTATATGATCCGTTCATCCTATTTCGACTCTTTAAAATTCAAGAGTCTATCCTAAATTGAGGTAAATTATATGGCCTTCCAAATACCGTTTCGATCCCTAACATCACTGAAGAGACATTAATTGTCGAAATCCGGATATGGTGTACAAATTTTTGCACCTCATGGTTGTGGTATACCATCTTTTCCACAAGTTTATTTTTTTCTGTTTTGTATTAAATTACTATTAAGATCATTTTGTTACATCTATGATCAATTTATTTGGCAATCGCCAATGGCAGTCAGCAGGGTTTAAGAACATCCGTTGTTCGACCTGTTAGTCAAATGCGTTTTGTTAAAATATACTTTTTCACTTTTTTGGTCTTTTGGAAAATGTTGTTTGTGCTGTATTTAGACCCCTTTAACAAGAAATTTGTTTTACATGCACACGTATAAAAATTGCGGTTTTTATCCAACGCAATCATAGGTCTGAACGTTGTTTTCAATTTAGACTTGTTTATATTTTTTCGTTTGGGCTTGTATTATATTTTCCTTTGGGTTTATATGATCCGTTCATCCTATTTCGACTCTTTAAAATTCAAGAGTCTATCCTAAATTGAGGTAAATTATATGGCCTTCCAAATACCGTTTCGATCCCTAACATCACTGAAGAGACATTAATTGTCGAAATCCGGATATGGTGTACAAATTTTTGCACCTCATGGTTGTGGTATACCATCTTTTCCACAAGTTTATTTTTTTCTGTTTTGTATTAAATTACTATTAAGATCATTTTGTTACATCTGTGATCAATTTATTTGGCAATCGCCAATGGCAGTCAGCAGGGTTTAAGAACATCCGTTGTTCGACCTGTTAGTCAAATGCGTTTTGTTAAAATATACTTTTTCACTTTTTTGGTCTTTTGAAAAATGTTGTTTGTGCTGTATTTAGACCCCTTTAACAAGAAATTTGTTTTACATGCACACGTATAAAAATTGCGGTTTTTATCCAACGCAATCATAGGTCTGAACGTTGTTTTCAATTTAGACTTGTTTATATTTTTTCGTTTGGGCTTGTAATATATTTTCCTTCGGGTTTATATGATCCGTTCATCCTATTTCGACTCTTTAAAATTCAAGAGTCTATCCTAAATTGAGGTAAATTATATGGCCTTCCAAATACCGTTTCGATCCCTAACATCACTGAAGAGACATTAATTGTCGAAATCCGGATATGGTGTACAAATTTTTGCACCTCATGGTTGTGGTATACCATCTTTTCCACAAGTTTATTTTTTTCTGTTTTGTATTAAATTACTATTAAGATCATTTTGTTACATCTGTGATCAATTTATTTGGCAATCGCCAATGGCAGTCAGCAGGGTTTAAGAACATCCGTTGTTCGACCTGTTAGTCAAATGCGTTTTGTTAAAATATACTTTTTCACTTTTTTGGTCTTTTGGAAAATGTTGTTTGTGCTGTATTTAGACCCCTTTAACAAGAAATTTGTTTTACATGCACACGTATAAAAATTGCGGTTTTTATCCAACGCAATCATAGGTCTGAACGTTGTTTTCAATTTAGACTTGTTTATATTTTTTCGTTTGGGCTTGTAATATATTTTCCTTCGGGTTTATATGATCCGTTCATCCTATTTCGACTCTTTAAAATTCAAGAGTCTATCCTAAATTGAGGTAAATTATATGGCCTTCCAAATACCGTTTCGATCCCTAACATCACTGAAGAGACATTAATTGTCGAAATCCGGATATGGTGTACAAATTTTTGCACCTCATGGTTGTGGTATACCATCTTTTCCACAAGTTTATTTTTTTCTGTTTTGTATTAAATTACTATTAAGATCATTTTGTTACATCTGTGATCAATTTATTTGGCAATCGCCAATGGCAGTCAGCAGGGTTTAAGAACATCCGTTGTTCGACCTGTTAGTCAAATGCGTTTTGTTAAAATATACTTTTTCACTTTTTTGGTCTTTTGGAAAATGTTGTTTGTGCTGTATTTAGACCCCTTTAACAAGAAATTTGTTTTACATGCACACGTATAAAAATTGCGGTTTTTATCCAACGCAATCATAGGTCTGAACGTTGTTTTCAATTTAGACTTGTTTATATTTTTTCGATTGGGCTTGTATTATATTTTCCTTTGGGTTTATATGATCCGTTCATCCTATTTCGACTCTTTAAAATTCAAGAGTCTATCCTAAATTGAGGTAAATTATATGGCCTTCCAAATACCGTTTCGATCCCTAACATCACTGAAGAGACATTAATTGTCGAAATCCGGATATGGTGTACAAATTTTTGTACCTCATGGTTGTGGTATACCATCTTTTCCACAAGTTTATTTTTTTCTGTTTTGTATTAAATTACTATTAAGATCATTTTGTTACATCTGTGATCAATTTATTTGGCAATCGCCAATGGCAGTCAGCAGGGTTTAAGAACATCCGTTGTTCGACCTGTTAGTCAAATGCGTTTTGTTAAAATATACTTTTTCACTTTTTTGGTCTTTTGGAAAATGTTGTTTGTGCTGTATTTAGACCCCTTCAACAAGAAATTTGTTTTACATGCACACGTATAAAAATTGCGGTTTTTATCCAACGCAATCATAGGTCTGAACGTTGTTTTCAATTTAGACTTGTTTATATTTTTTCGTTTGGGCTTGTATTATATTTTCCTTTGGGTTTATATGATCCGTTCATCCTATTTCGACTCTTTAAAATTCAAGAGTCTATCCTAAATTGAGGTAAATTATATGGCCTTCCAAATACCGTTTCGATCCCTAACATCACTGAAGAGACATTAATTGTCGAAATCCGGATATGGTGTACAAATTTTTGTACCTCATGGTTGTGGTATACCATCTTTTCCACAAGTTTATTTTTTTCTGTTTTGTATTAAATTACTATTAAGATCACTTTGTTACATCTGTGATCAATTTATTTGGCAATCGCCAATGGCAGTCAGCAGGGTTTAAGAACATCCGTTGTTCGACCTGTTAGTCAAATGCGTTTTGTTAAAATATACTTTTTCACTTTTTTGGTCTTTTGGAAAATGTTGTTTGTGCTGTATTTAGACCCCTTTAACAAGAAATTTGTTTTACATGCACACGTATAAAAATTGCGGTTTTTATCCAACGCAATCATAGGTCTGAACGTTGTTTTCAATTTAGACTTGTTAATATTTTTTCGTTTGGGCTTGTATTATATTTTCCTTTGGGTTCATATGATCCGTTCATCCTATTTCGACTCTTTAAAATTCAAGAGTCTATCCTAAATTGAGGTAAATTATATGGCCTTCCAAATACCGTTTCGATCCCTAACATCACTGAAGAGACATTAATTGTCGAAATCCGGATATGGTGTACAAATTTTTGCACCTCATGGTTGTGGTATACCATCTTTTCCACAAGTTTATTTTTTTCTGTTTTGTATTAAATTACTATTAAGATCATTTTGTTACATCTGTGATCAATTTATTTGGCAATCGCCAATGGCAGTCAGCAGGGTTTAAGAACATCCGTTGTTCGACCTGTTAGTCAAATGCGTTTTGTTAAAATATACTTTTTCACTTTTTTGGTCTTTTGGAAAATGTTGTTTGTGCTGTATTTAGACCCCTTTAACAAGAAATTTGTTTTACATGCACACGTATAAAAATTGCGGTTTTTATCCAACGCAATCATAGGTCTGAACGTTGTTTTCAATTTAGACTTGTATATATATATATATATATATATCGGTCCGTTACTATATATTTGTGTATCCTATGCCGAGTACTGACTTACCTCATAGTGAGAAAGAGAGAAAATTAAATGCTGCTGTGATGAATCTCCTCGGACCCAATTACGTGACTCCAAATTTAGCAACGTTCTTATAGATGCCCTTGTAGTTCTTTAAAAAGAATGAATTGAATGAAGCTATTAATCGAATATATACCCTATTGCAGAACAAATTTGGCCGAATATATTGAATATCGATCAAAATTTCGATAACACTGCAAATGGCGTTGGTTAGTTGTTACTTTATTTTGTTGACAATAAAACTTCAGCATTCGTTTCCATCTTCGTAAAGTCAGGAACCTGTTGCAGGCAGTGGTTGTCGTTTGTTGATGTGGTTCTTAAGTATTTCTCGTTTCTCGTTTTTTATATAGATTAGACCGTTTGTTTTCCTGTTTGAATTGTTTTACACTAGTCATTTTGGGGCCCTTCATAGCTTGCTCTTCGGTGTGAGCCAAGGCTTCGTGTTTATGGCCGTACTTTGACGGATAATTGTTTACTTTTTACACATTGTGACTAGCTAGGAATGAGACTTGTCTCATTGGCACTCATACCACATCTTCCTGTTTCTATTATAACGTAATGCTCCGATTGCTTAGGCGTGACCTTTATGGTTTCAGCGTGTTGATGCATTTTTTTATTATAGCATACCTTTCTTAAATTATTAATACATTCATAGAGTATTCAAGAACAAAGGTCAGTTTTATATTTCTTGGAAGTTCATTAAAGATAAAGAACTGGATCATACTTCACTATAATGGCTATCAAAATTACAAAAGTGTCCTAACAGACACGCAACTTATTTCAAAACATGTAACATTAATTTGTACAGCATCAAAAGCCTGGATTTAGAGTTACTGTAAAGCTACCGCCTCGAAGGGCAGTGGGAATCAGTATTTAAACTAAATATTTCCAAAGATACGTTAGAGCAGCACATGCAAGGTAAGTGTCATTCTTCTAACAAACTTATAATGTCATTTTAATTCTTTACCCTTTACTCTATAATTGCCCGTTCTAACTTAAAGTCAGATTGAAATGATTAGTCCATCTTTGTTTTATTTTAATAAAAATGACGTTTAAACATGTATCTAATTTAAGGAGACGGTTAATCAAATTTTATGAACAAAATCAATTTAATTAAAAGAAAACATGCTCTGAAACTGATATTGCCAAGATAGTTAATTTTATGATTGACAACATTTGCTTTACGTTTGAAGGACGTATTTCAAAACAAAAAACCGACATTCCGAAAAGAACCAGTTTGTTACTATTCTTGCCAACATGCTCCATTATTTATATTAAGCTAACTTCACGCAAGAACTTATGAGAAAGCAGGAATAGAAACAAAGAGACGGAGAAACCAAGGGGACATTCAAAAGTCGAAGAAAAACTGACAAAGCAATGGCAAAAAAAAACACATAAAAAACGACGAAAATACGAACAAATCAAGAAATTCCTTAATAAAAAAAACAAAGGTTCAGCAACACGAATCCAACTAAAAACCGAAAATAAACTCAAATGGTCCGGCAAAAAGTTTCTGCTCGACACGAGACACCCATCTTGCTAATGCACGTACAAGCTTGCATTAACCCTAGTCTTTATTTTTAGCGATATAAAGTCTTCTAACTGAATATTTCGCAGTTTTATAAACCACTGTGACACAGATGACTACATATATGTTCCAGTTGTCTTCAACACGACATCGCTCTCTTTATATTTGTATTAACGTAAGGAGAAAATATACCCAGAATCTTCCTTCATTGTAATATATGTTATTGTGCAAAGTTTGAAAAAACCTTTTTGTAATATCATTTTAAATGTCAAATTTTGTTTAATGATTGTTTTCATCCTTGCATTGTTTCAATGAGCGTAGGTGACATAACATATTTACTACGTACAACACACGCCTCAATATGGCATGTATGGATACCATTTTCTCTAGAGATAACTACAAAAATGTTTACATGGGGGCATACTCCTGTCTTCTGTATTTGCAATTCTAAATCCATACACAGTGTAAATATAGGCAGCAGTATATTACCGATATTCTAATCTCACAATTGACAGAGAAGGCAACGAGCAAAAACTGACGGAATCACATAAACTCAAAGCGTATCCTTCTATGCATACATTAACCGCCGTGCGAATCCACAGTGGAAAATGTCACAACCGAGAAAAGGACACAATCGATAACACTACAGATCAGACTACTATTCTGGTATCTATCATCATATTCATGACATTAAACAAGATTTATATATCTACTTTTTTGTCCTCAACTGTATCAATCAGTAACATAAAGTTCTTCTTCTAGATTATAGGTCTGGGGACGAATTCGATATTTCGGGCTTCTGTCAACATGATCAACTCCCTTAGTTGTTCATTTTTTAAGGAGAGCAAGGCTGCAGTAATAACATTTACAGCGGAACCATAGGTGTATAGGGACGATAACCAAGAGCAATCATGACGTTTGGAATTTTCATCCTATGGTGTAAATTATTGAAAACAACACGTTTAATAATTTCATGCTTCCGAAGCGCTTTTCTGGATTTACCTTCATCAGGAACGCTCAAAGCCAAACATTTGAAATCCGAGGAATGTATAAGTTCCGAAACAGTTGAAGAGCTATATGATAAAAATACCTCAAACAAATAGCCAAATCCATCTAAGGACAACTTTGCCTGAGGGAGTTGAAACCGTAGTTTCTTTATAATTTCAGAATTTATAAACGGACAATTTTAGAAAAGTTTGTTATAAATCATGTCAGTACCGAAGTACTGACTACTGAGCTGATGAGACCCTCGGGGACTGATAGTCCACCAGCAGAGGTATCGACCCAGTGATGTAAATAATTGAAAACAACACGTTTAATAATTTCATGCGTCCGAAGAGCCTTTCTGGATTTACCGTCATCAGGAACGCTCAAAGCCAAACATTTGAAATCCAAGGAATGTATAAGTACCGAAACAGTTGAAGAGCTATATGACAAAATACCTAAAACAAATAGCCAAATCCATCTAAGGTCAACTTTGCCTGAGGGAGTTGAAACCTTAGTTTCTTTATAAATTCAAAATTTTTAAACGGACAATTTTAGAAAAGTTTGTTATTAATCATGACAGTACCGAAGTAAGGTCTCTAATAGCATCGTCTGGTTTAAAATGCAATATTTGTGTGATGTAGGAATATACAATGACAGGTGAAGTTTAATCTTTGAAGTAACCATGTATTGTTTTCTGCACATACTTTGGCTGGACAATAAGTTTGTATTGCCATTATTGATAGCATCTTAACCCGTCTGTTCGAATTCTACATGTAAGTCAACTACGTTTTTACTCATCCTTTGAAATAGTTGTCACGTGTTTGAATAACCTGTAGTTAGCAATGTCTACAATTACTGCAACCAAATAAACAGTTTTAATCTGTAATATCGATACTCAAAAGTGCTTAAGTGGGACCTTTTATATATCCTTTTGTCAACACTATTATATAGATATTTTGTTCAAATCATAACATCTGCAGTCTTTGATAGTTTTAAAGACTTACTGATTTAGATTTTCGCGTGACTTCAATTGTTGAAGATGAAAAAACACTTCGCTGAAATTTCCTTCCTCTGGTTTATTCAAATGTGTTGTTTCTTCTATTAATGCTCCTGTTCTCTATGAAACATTATGCATTTCATAATTGAATCATTAATGCAAAATAAACTTGGTATAGATTCCTTCAAATTCATAACGTAACACGCACATTAATAAGTCAGGAATCTGATGTTTAGTAGTTGTCGTTTGTTGATGTGGTTCATAAGTGTTTCTCGTTTGTCGTTTTTTTTTTATATAGATTAGACCGTTGATTTTCCCGTTTGAATGGTTTTACACTAGTCATTTTGGGGCCCTTTGTAGCTTGTTGTTCGGTGTTAGCCAAGACTCCGTGTTGAAGACCGTACTTTGACTCATAATGGTTGACGCCTCCGGGTGCGGGAGTTTCTCGCTGCATTGAAGACCCATTGGTGGCCTTCGGCTGTTGTCTGCTCTATGGTCGGGTTGTTGTCTCTTTAACACATTCCCCATTTCCATTCTCTATTTTACTTTTACAAATTGTGACTTGGAGGGAGAGTTGTCGAGACAAGATAATTACTACTGTTAATTTAGAAATTTTGCGATGTTATAATTATTGCCAAAATTGCAGAGATAGAGGTTGCATTAACAAAATCCGTATTTTTTATTGTTACTGCGTATTTTGCATGCAGCATCTACCCGATTTTGCAATAATTAAAATACCAACAATAAATGTACGCAATAATTTTGAATTTACAGCAATACGAATGTCGGTACAATTGTTTGAAAAAGTGTAAAGCCTTAGGAAAACCATTTTTGCAAGATTTTATATTTTTGACTATCATATATCATATTTGGTTTCACCCCTTACTTCAATTTTTAATCAAATTTGATATATTATATAAAGCATTCTCACCTGTATTTCATTGCCTTGTTTTATTACTGAGAGGTTAAACATTGAACTATAGCGTATGTGGCTGCGTACCCATTTAAGAGTTTTCAAAAAGCAAACTTAGGTAGATTAGTATACCTATTTCTAAATTTGAATTTGAGTTTCGTACCACATTAATGCGAAGGAATAAAGGTTTAACTTTTAAAATGTTCTTACTTAGGACGAATCAACGAATTGTTTACCTCCAATACTTGTGTGGCGCATGTTACGGTTTCATTTGTTGGATGTTCAAGAAGTACTAACAGCAAGTCTCTTATCATAAATCGTACAACTGCTAGTCTTTGTAAAACGCCTCCACTTGTTACCTGGAAAACAAATAAGATTATCAACAAAAATGTACTTTTGGTATATATTTGATAATAATGCACCGCGGGTAAAATTTTTCGATTCATTAATTTTTTATAGGATACCTATGATTTTATGGATAGATTCAACCACATAATTAAATGTTCAACGAATAACAAATATTCCATTTGAGTGTATGCAGCCCTTGGCAAACAACTAGCGATTAAATATCTACCATACTTGCTATTTTACCTGATTCCACATTAATATGACCTTCCAAAAAATAAAAGAATGCACTTTACCCGTCTTTGCCTTTGTCCGAAATACATAATACTCAACGACCGTTTCACAGCTTGCATACTTGGTAGGATTAGTTTCTCGTCATATTACATTAAGTTGTAGGATTGTATACAATTCCTTGAAATTGAAGTTTGACAACTTTTGTTGAGCTGAAACAATGACAAATCGTGAACGCTACACCTCTGGTCCCATAGACAGCAACCTCTCATACTTTGCAGGATCGTTTGCCACCATAGGTGATTGACCATGTCGTAGCACTAATTTAATCCGTCAATATTTATAACTTTTACTTTGGACTATTGCAACACAATGGCGTATTGTAAACGCAACTCCTCTGAGACCATTTGACAGTGTTTGTCACTCTATGTAATTATAAAAAAGAAGATGCGGTATGATTGCCAATGAGACAGCTCTCCACAAGAGACCAAATGACACAGAAATTAACAGCTATAGGTCACCAATGAGCAAAGCCCATACCGCATAGTCAGCTTTAAAAGGCCCCGAAATCAGAAATGTAAAACATTTCAAAACTAACGGCCTAATTAATGTACAAAAAAATGAACGAAAAACAAATATGTACCACAGTTACAAACGACAACCACTGAATTATAGGCTCCTGACTTGGGACAGGCACATACATACAGAATGTGGCGGGGTTAAACATGTTAGCGGGATCCCAATCCTCCCCCTTACCTGGGACAGTGGTGTAACAGTACAACATAAGAACGAACGATAAAAATCAGTTGAAAAAAGCATAACTCATCATATGGACACAAATAGAAATACATATAACAAAAACACGTGGACGTGACCGGGTAATTGTACATCCAAACAACAAAAAGACACTAAGTACAGATCTGAGAGTACTCGCAGGCAGTTACATACAACTAGTTCAAAGTCAATAACAACTTATATAAAAAATCATGCATCTAAGACTAAATTATCAATCAGTACACATCCAACATCCATAAGACGTCATAAACAGTCAGAGAACCTTTTTGTAATATCATTTTAAATGTCAAATTTTGTTTAATGATATTGTTTTCATCCTTGCATTGTTTCAATGAGCGTAGGTGACATAACATATTTACTACGTACAACACACGCCTCAATATGGCATGTATGGATACCATTTTCTCTAGAGATAACTACAAAAATGTTTACATGGGGGCATACTCCTGTCTTCTGTATTTGCAATTCTAAATCCATACACAGTGTAAATATAGGCAGCAGTATATTACCGATATTCTAATCTCACAATTGACAGAGAAGGCAACGAGCAAAAACTGACGGAATCACATAAACTCAAAGCGTATCCTTCTATGCATACATTAACCGCCGTGCGAATCCACAGTGGAAAATGTCACAACCGAGAAAAGGACACAATCGATAACACTACAGATCAGACTACTATTCTGGTATCTATCATCATATTCATGACATTAAACAAGATTTATATATCTACTTTTTTGTCCTCAACTGTATCAATCAGTAACATAAAGTTCTTCTTCTAGATTATAGGTCTGGGGACGAATTCGATATTTCGGGCTTCTGTCAACATGATCAACTCCCTTAGTTGTTCATTTTTTAAGGAGAGCAAGGCTGCAGTAATAACATTTACAGCGGAACCATAGGTGTATAGGGACGATAACCAAGAGCAATCATGACGTTTGGAATTTTCATCCTATGGTGTAAATTATTGAAAACAACACGTTTAATAATTTCATGCTTCCGAAGCGCTTTTCTGGATTTACCTTCATCAGGAACGCTCAAAGCCAAACATTTGAAATCCGAGGAATGTATAAGTTCCGAAACAGTTGAAGAGCTATATGATAAAAATACCTCAAACAAATAGCCAAATCCATCTAAGGACAACTTTGCCTGAGGGAGTTGAAACCGTAGTTTCTTTATAATTTCAGAATTTATAAACGGACAATTTTAGAAAAGTTTGTTATAAATCATGTCAGTACCGAAGTACTGACTACTGAGCTGATGAGACCCTCGGGGACTGATAGTCCACCAGCAGAGGTATCGACCCAGTGATGTAAATAATTGAAAACAACACGTTTAATAATTTCATGCGTCCGAAGAGCCTTTCTGGATTTACCGTCATCAGGAACGCTCAAAGCCAAACATTTGAAATCCAAGGAATGTATAAGTACCGAAACAGTTGAAGAGCTATATGACAAAATACCTAAAACAAATAGCCAAATCCATCTAAGGTCAACTTTGCCTGAGGGAGTTGAAACCTTAGTTTCTTTATAAATTCAAAATTTTTAAACGGACAATTTTAGAAAAGTTTGTTATTAATCATGACAGTACCGAAGTAAGGTCTCTAATAGCATCGTCTGGTTTAAAATGCAATATTTGTGTGATGTAGGAATATACAATGACAGGTGAAGTTTAATCTTTGAAGTAACCATGTATTGTTTTCTGCACATACTTTGGCTGGACAATAAGTTTGTATTGCCATTATTGATAGCATCTTAACCCGTCTGTTCGAATTCTACATGTAAGTCAACTACGTTTTTACTCATCCTTTGAAATAGTTGTCACGTGTTTGAATAACCTGTAGTTAGCAATGTCTACAATTACTGCAACCAAATAAACAGTTTTAATCTGTAATATCGATACTCAAAAGTGCTTAAGTGGGACCTTTTATATATCCTTTTGTCAACACTATTATATAGATATTTTGTTCAAATCATAACATCTGCAGTCTTTGATAGTTTTAAAGACTTACTGATTTAGATTTTCGCGTGACTTCAATTGTTGAAGATGAAAAAACACTTCGCTGAAATTTCCTTCCTCTGGTTTATTCAAATGTGTTGTTTCTTCTATTAATGCTCCTGTTCTCTATGAAACATTATGCATTTCATAATTGAATCATTAATGCAAAATAAACTTGGTATAGATTCCTTCAAATTCATAACGTAACACGCACATTAATAAGTCAGGAATCTGATGTTTAGTAGTTGTCGTTTGTTGATGTGGTTCATAAGTGTTTCTCGTTTGTCGTTTTTTTTTTATATAGATTAGACCGTTGATTTTCCCGTTTGAATGGTTTTACACTAGTCATTTTGGGGCCCTTTGTAGCTTGTTGTTCGGTGTTAGCCAAGACTCCGTGTTGAAGACCGTACTTTGACTCATAATGGTTGACGCCTCCGGGTGCGGGAGTTTCTCGCTGCATTGAAGACCCATTGGTGGCCTTCGGCTGTTGTCTGCTCTATGGTCGGGTTGTTGTCTCTTTAACACATTCCCCATTTCCATTCTCTATTTTACTTTTACAAATTGTGACTTGGAGGGAGAGTTGTCGAGACAAGATAATTACTACTGTTAATTTAGAAATTTTGCGATGTTATAATTATTGCCAAAATTGCAGAGATAGAGGTTGCATTAACAAAATCCGTATTTTTTATTGTTACTGCGTATTTTGCATGCAGCATCTACCCGATTTTGCAATAATTAAAATACCAACAATAAATGTACGCAATAATTTTGAATTTACAGCAATACGAATGTCGGTACAATTGTTTGAAAAAGTGTAAAGCCTTAGGAAAACCATTTTTGCAAGATTTTATATTTTTGACTATCATATATCATATTTGGTTTCACCCCTTACTTCAATTTTTAATCAAATTTGATATATTATATAAAGCATTCTCACCTGTATTTCATTGCCTTGTTTTATTACTGAGAGGTTAAACATTGAACTATAGCGTATGTGGCTGCGTACCCATTTAAGAGTTTTCAAAAAGCAAACTTAGGTAGATTAGTATACCTATTTCTAAATTTGAATTTGAGTTTCGTACCACATTAATGCGAAGGAATAAAGGTTTAACTTTTAAAATGTTCTTACTTAGGACGAATCAACGAATTGTTTACCTCCAATACTTGTGTGGCGCATGTTACGGTTTCATTTGTTGGATGTTCAAGAAGTACTAACAGCAAGTCTCTTATCATAAATCGTACAACTGCTAGTCTTTGTAAAACGCCTCCACTTGTTACCTGGAAAACAAATAAGATTATCAACAAAAATGTACTTTTGGTATATATTTGATAATAATGCACCGCGGGTAAAATTTTTCGATTCATTAATTTTTTATAGGATACCTATGATTTTATGGATAGATTCAACCACATAATTAAATGTTCAACGAATAACAAATATTCCATTTGAGTGTATGCAGCCCTTGGCAAACAACTAGCGATTAAATATCTACCATACTTGCTATTTTACCTGATTCCACATTAATATGACCTTCCAAAAAATAAAAGAATGCACTTTACCCGTCTTTGCCTTTGTCCGAAATACATAATACTCAACGACCGTTTCACAGCTTGCATACTTGGTAGGATTAGTTTCTCGTCATATTACATTAAGTTGTAGGATTGTATACAATTCCTTGAAATTGAAGTTTGACAACTTTTGTTGAGCTGAAACAATGACAAATCGTGAACGCTACACCTCTGGTCCCATAGACAGCAACCTCTCATACTTTGCAGGATCGTTTGCCACCATAGGTGATTGACCATGTCGTAGCACTAATTTAATCCGTCAATATTTATAACTTTTACTTTGGACTATTGCAACACAATGGCGTATTGTAAACGCAACTCCTCTGAGACCATTTGACAGTGTTTGTCACTCTATGTAATTATAAAAAAGAAGATGCGGTATGATTGCCAATGAGACAGCTCTCCACAAGAGACCAAATGACACAGAAATTAACAGCTATAGGTCACCAATGAGCAAAGCCCATACCGCATAGTCAGCTTTAAAAGGCCCCGAAATCAGAAATGTAAAACATTTCAAAACTAACGGCCTAATTAATGTACAAAAAAATGAACGAAAAACAAATATGTACCACAGTTACAAACGACAACCACTGAATTATAGGCTCCTGACTTGGGACAGGCACATACATACAGAATGTGGCGGGGTTAAACATGTTAGCGGGATCCCAATCCTCCCCCTTACCTGGGACAGTGGTGTAACAGTACAACATAAGAACGAACGATAAAAATCAGTTGAAAAAAGCATAACTCATCATATGGACACAAATAGAAATACATATAACAAAAACACGTGGACGTGACCGGGTAATTGTACATCCAAACAACAAAAAGACACTAAGTACAGATCTGAGAGTACTCGCAGGCAGTTACATACAACTAGTTCAAAGTCAATAACAACTTATATAAAAAATCATGCATCTAAGACTAAATTATCAATCAGTACACATCCAACATCCATAAGACGTCATAAACAGTCAGTGAAAAACATGACCTTGTGCAATGCCAAGATACAGGAGTTGACAGATTGTAGATCCATGAAAGTGCATATGTATATAACAATAATATTTAGTTGGCTTTTAATTTACTGATAACAAAATCAATATTAATACCAATAAAACCAATATTGACCATTTCATACCATCAATTTTATGGAACCTTGTCTTATTTTAGAGTATCCTATCCAAATTTTATCGTATACACGCAACTACTCATTTTTAATTGTTGAAATAGTTGTTTGTTTTTATAGTGATTAAGATTATAACACAATGTTGACTGCTGTACCCCAAATTTTGACATGTTTACCCTTTATAGAATTGAGAATGGAAACGGGGAATGTGTAAAAGAGACAGCAAGCCGACCAAAAAGCAGAAAACTGTTGCCTATTTGTTTTCCTCACACATTGTTGTCAATATAATGGAATTCTATTCGACTGTCATACATAGCTAGAAAACCAGGTTTAATCCACCATTATCTACATAAGGAAATGCCTGTACTAAGGCAGGAATATGGCAGTTGTTTTCCTTTTGTTTGATGTGTTTGATGTTTGATTTTGACATTTGACAAGGGACTTTCCGTTTAGAGTTCGGTATTTTTGTTACTTTACTTTATATTGTCATTTTGATTTACAAATTTTTATTAGATTTCTTGGGACTTTTATTGCTATCCTACCACAATGTCACCCTGTGAACAGAATTCGCGTTAGGCCATTTAACAGAAAGATCTCATACGTGCAGTCATTATGATTGCACAATTTTATGGGAGAGATAGGACCTTTAATATTTGTTTTACTATCATACCATGATGATACCATATTCGCCTATTGAATAACAGGAACAACTGCAAAAGTTTGAACAAACACCATTGATTATGTAATCGATTTTCTATAGAAAGTCTATAAAAACTGACGTTGTCAACCAACAGAACGAGATAAAAATAACAACGGTCATATTCCTGACTTGGAGCAGGGATTTTTAGAAGAATATGGTGGGTTTAACCATTACAAATTTGTATTCCTCATTTACACTGCATTGTTAGACATTTTGTTGGTACGTCGGATCAATCTTGTTTATGATGATATAAATCAATTGCTTACTTCTAAATTTATAAACAATTCTCCTAGAAAAATTACAAATCCACATAAACAAGAAACTGTATCCGGGTTAGAAATCAGTTCTTGCTTTTTTAAATACTCTTCCTTGCATCTGTAATGAGAAAAAAAACATCGTACAAAAATTTCAAATCATGTTGATTAAAGTTCTTCAGTACGAAAAATGTGTATGGAACCATAAATTAATTTCTAAAACATCATAAACATGAAAAAACACTACGCATGTTATGCATCCGAAGCGCTTTTCCTTGATTAACGTTCATCAGGAACGTCTTCATAAAGTGCCTTCCTTCAAGAAATGATGTTTGAAATCCTTGAAGGCTTAGTGATATTTGTTCTATGTCGTGCAGATATAAACAAATTCGATGTTTATGTGAATGTGGCAGCAGCCCTACAGATGTTATGTAACAAAGAACAATCAACAAAAAAACCGTAACTTACCTCGTAATAAAAATATTTCTGAAGTTTGCAAAAACTGGAACCATCTTTAGTTTTTCAGATAAGAACTTAACAAGTTGTGCTCCGGTATAGTGAAAATCTTGTTCAATAATAGACTGAAAAGATATAAAAGGCGTAAAAACATAGGATGAACATCAACTAAATGTTACTCAAAATCCATAACTAAACTAGAAAAGTATCGAACATTTATCTAGAAATTTCAATTGATATTGATTTTCAAATCATATTCAATTATTTACAAGTTAAAATTTGTCAAGTTCCTAGACTAAAAGTAAAGACAGAACAAACCAATGAAACTATCAAATATCTTGGAAGAATCAAAGAAATACCCAACCATACCATGGCAAAAATGGGCGAAAGCGCTAAGCAAGCTAAAATCTGGAAAACACTATATAATGTTGAGAAGGTGAAAAATATATATTGCATTTTATAATGAATAAGGCGTCATTTCGTTTATGAATAATTCTATTGATAAAATGAAGTATTTAGAATAATTGAGGAAAAACAGCAAAATATTTAGCTTAAACATTTGGTGAAACAAACATTAGTTTTTCAGGTATTATATTTTCGAACATTTGTTAAGACTCTATTATGCATACCTGAAAGACATTGTTGTCAATTCAACAAACATACTGACTCTAACAATATCTAAATGAACACATGCAAGTAATCCCCCTAAGAATACTACGGTACGGATTGATTTGTTTTCGTACTCGTTGAAGCTGAATTTCTTTTGAATTTCTAGCAGACAAAATAATAAGCACCTTGCGAAATTCTTAAACTTTACTTTCAGATATATTGACGATGTTTTATCACTGAATAACCCATATTTCAGTCAGTAGTTATATCTCATATATCCCAGTGAACTTGAAATTAAAGATACTGCTGAAACTAGGAGGACTGCTTCATACCTTGATTTTTTCCTCAATATTGACACAGATGGACGACTTCATACTACAATCTATGACAAATGGATCAATTTCAACTTTCTAATTATCAAGTTTCCATTTCTTAGCAGTAACATACCATCTGCTGCGTCGTATGATGTTTACATATCTCAATTGATGCGTTATGTTCGTGCATGTTTCCACTATACAGGAGTGTGTTCCTTACGCAGCAACTGCTCCAACAGAGTTAGGAGCAGGTAAGATTAAAAATGACACTCCGTAAATTTTATGGAGGACGTCACGAATTGGTCGATCTACACGATGTGTCAGTGCCTAAATTAATTAACAACATTTTTTACAACATCGTAGATTGTTGTTTACCATCTACATCGTCTGGTGTGCTACGTACTGAACGTTACCTATTCCCGAATTAAACTGTGACTTTGCATTGCTATTAGACGCGTGTCGGTATTTATACATCCAACATTCATGTATTTAGTTATGATGTTTCATTTGTAATTCTGGTTGAATATTGTGTTATATCTCATTGTTTGTGCTTATTTGTTATTACAGTTTGATTTAAAAGATAAACCGACATGGTCAGAAAATAAGAATTATTACAGCATTACTAACACAATTGTGTATTAATATTAGTGTAAAAATATGATAAAGACTTTTTTATATGTTCATTTTTGGACACTAGAGGTTTTGGGCAAACAAAAATGTCTAAATATCATAAAGAACTTTTGATTTCCTTAGCTGATAAAAATCCGTCACGAAAGAGGACCTTTTAGAAGAAAATATATTTGGCAATTGTAGATTTAAGTTCAAGCGTCATGCCTTATGTTATGCAAATGTTGCCTCCAGTAGAATAAAAAAAAAAGAAGATAAATGGGACTTAAACAATAAATCTGTTCAAACGTCTTTCAACATTTTTTACAAACTAAAAGAAAAAAGGAACTGAATAGCACAATATAGCCGCATTTAGGCTTTGTTAACGCCCGAACAAACTGACCTTTTAAAAACAGACACTATTGTGCAAAATCATTCTGATAGACCTATAAAAATAATGCATTCTTGTCAATTTACAAAACACGGAGTTGTTGATGATGCTAAAAAAATATACCTCAAAGATATTCGATACTTTAATGAGAATAAAACTACTCCAAATAGTCAGTTTAAATGGAACTTACATTTTGGGAAGGAAATACCATGGGGGGATATTTGGGACAATTTGAATAAGAATTTAGCTAACAGTAAAACTAAACAACTTCAATGGAAGTTACTTCATAATATAATTTACACGGAAGAAACATTACAAAAAATGAATCTCTCAACCGGAAAGTGTCACTTTTGTAACGAAAAAGAATCGCTATATCATCTTTTTATATACTGTTGACTGGTGGAAGACGTTTGGCTAGACGTTTTTGAGAAAATATGATAAATATGTTCAAAACTGAGTATTGAAAAAGTACAAAAACCAGAAACGAGTTTAATTGTGGGTGTCATAAATGCAGATACATCTTTTTTCAAATTCTAGATACGGTGCTTCTTATCAAGAAATGGGTTATATGGAAAACTAGAAACATCGCCTAATACCAAAAGAAAGAAATAGTCAAATCGAGGATTTTGAATATGATCAAACATGTAATAGAATTTTTATACAACTATATTTGTTTGCGTGGTCAGGCCAGTGTAATGATCTCCTCAAGACTGAATTATCATATACATTACACTCAACCCCGTTTATGTATTATGCATTTTCTATTGTGTATGTAAATTATGTCTATTGTATACTTGTAACAATGGACATGTTGTATCAACAGGTAAATATTATAAGCAAATATTTACTCACCATATCTTTGAAACGAATACTTTTTGGGAAACAAAATCATAAATCTAACTTTTTATGAATGAATTACATATTTTCTTTCAAATACATTTTAACGAGAAGCACGTGGCAAAAGATCACTCGACCAGACATTGAATGTAATAGACATTAACATAACAAAAGAACGAAGTGAAGTGCTATAAAATTGAAAATGCTTTATTAATACAGGTAGCTCTTGTGAGAAAAATATGCAGATAGAAGGAATACGTTATTCAAATGATTATATATGGTATGATGTATAAATATATAGATAAATAATAATTACATGTACATTTATACATTACATAGATAGATAACAATCGTAAAGACAGATGTCAATTATTCATAGAAATGTTTTTTTTTCCCTCAGTTAGTTTGTCCTTAAAAATATGTTAAAAATAAAAAAAGAAAATAAGGGTAATGGTTCGAAAATACACAAAATAGCACTTTTACAAACTTAATCCCAAGTAAGTCTTATGAAGGTACATTTTGTGGCATTGATACATTCGTGTGATGCACAGTGAAAAACTGTATCGTGCTGTACTAGTGTAATGTCTTAAAATAATTTTAGATGTTTGGTTGTTATTCTGTGGTTCATAGGTTGAAATGAGTTTTTATATTTTGTCTTTATGCATTACTCTGTCCTGAGTGTTCTTTTATTTATTTGTACTGTATTTACACGTAATATTGTCACTTTAGCGATCTTTTCAACATTGCTATATAAGCGGGAGGTTTGACTACCCATAAAACAAGGTTCAACCCAACAGTTCCAAGTTAGGATTATTGCAATTGTTATCAAATAGTCCGTTTCTATGTTGGCGGTTTTTTTTAAACAACCTTAACCAATAGCTCTTATTTTTAATTATGAAATAAGCGTGATATAAAGCACGTTTTGGCAAAGTATTAAATCATTCTATTGTTTTTTATTCAAATGCATAAGACACATTTCCAAATGCTTTTAATGACCTACCTTTTCAAACAAATGATGTATGATGTAACTGATAACATGGTCATCAGAGCAATTTTGTAGCATTTGTACAATTACATCCGTTATTTCGTCTATGTTGCCTGACCGTAATGTCAGTTCGTTTATAATATCATAGAATGTGGAACAAATATCGTCTTCGGAAGAAGAGCTACTTGAATCGTATGCACTAGAGTCTTCTTCCTGATAGAATTCTTCTGCCATATAATTCTGAAAATGCGTCAAAAGTTGTAAATTATTTTTTTAATTTCTTATTTAAAATAGCTTATTCGAAATGACAGGGTGATATAAAATTATTTAAGGAGAAATTGTCTATACTGCTTCAAAATTACTCCCCTCTCACTACAAAACTTGTCAAATTCTCGACTAGAATGAAATCTAAATTTGGCCTTAAATAAAAACATATACATCCCTAGTTGTACCTACCTGTGACATAACCGTGTTATGCTGTCCTTGAACTTGTTGTGGGCTTCTCATTTGTGAAGGTAAATGTATGTTGAATTGGTTGTGTACTGCGGTAGGAAAGGCCACTTGTTCTCTGTTTGGTACAGACTGTGGCATGCGGGGTGGTTGTCCAGTGCAAGAATGTCTTTTGGTTGGACGAGCATTCATTCCATCTCCAAAGTTGCCTTGACCAGGTTGTCTTGCTCCATCGGCTACAAAATTGTCAGGTCTAGCCTGTTGTTCAGACATATTCTTAAAACCTTTAATAAGAACATTTCAAATGTTTCATACATGGTCATTGTGCGCAAATATACTTTTCAGATAACACGAAGATGATAAGCGATGAATGTGTATCACATGGTTAAACATGCTGACATGAAGCTTGATACCATATTTCGGGAAACTTTTGCAGTTTCTTTGGGAAATGGGATGAAATTAACATCTCCAATTTCCCTTTTCTTGACTAAGAAATCCTTAGTATACATATTCGTATTTCGTTCATAGTTTTTTTTTAAATCTGGCCATTATTTTATTCTCCTTTCAATTGTTTAATGTTTGTCATTTTATATCTGACTATCCTGTTTGGGTTTCACTCATAGTTTCTATGCCATTTGGTCTCTGGTGGAGAGATGTTTAATTGGCAGTTATTTTTATTTTCAAACATACCACTAGCTGGTGTGGGCTGTCTTAGCTGTGTTGGCCTCATCAGTGGTACCTGTGTCGGAGCATAGAAATTTCTCTGTTCCTGTGTCATGGTAGGAAGGATATACCCTGGTCCAGCTGACGGGAACATCTGACTCATCATACCAGCAACAGGCTGACCCTATAATGATAATCAAATCAAGTATGTAAAAAACTCATCATACCGGCAGCAGGCTGTCTCTAAAATGATAAACAAATCAAGCATGTAAAAAAACTAATCATACCGGCAGCAGGCTGTCTCTAAAATCATAATCAAATCAAGCATGTAAAAACTCTTCAAAGATATGATGCTTCTTATATTTCAAGCCAGACGAACTTGTTATCTATATAAAGCTCATGAGTGATGTTTTGATAATAATAATAAAAAAAAAGCTGGAGATTCTCTGTTTTGAGAAATTCATAAACAATGCTATTTGCTGTATTTAAATTTTGTAATTTTGTCTTTGGTTTTTTTCTCCTGTTTTAAAAAGTTACAGGTTACTGATTGATTCAGTTGAGAGAAATCAGTAAGAGAGTGAACTACACGTGCAATGAACAATAACACATATTTCTTATCCTGTCAGGCAGCTAGCGGTTGTGCATACGTTATGATCTAATCACTACAAACCGTCCCAGCAGACAAAGCCTGTAACAACATGAACAATGCTGTTCGTATATGCAAACATCTTTATTTTGAATATCTGATTAAAGAATATAGAATTCACAGCTTACATGGAAATCCAACATACACCCCGACATTCAAGAAAGTAGGGATATAGCAATAGAACAAATCCTTCCTCTTTTTTCTTTTCCCGTCTTTGTGCATTGTTATGCTTGATGTCTAAACTTCACACTAATCTGTATAAAGAACGATATCTAAATCGGGTTATTCAATCGAACATCTTTCTAAAATTACTATTCGTTTTCTAGTACAACATTGCACCCGTATTGTGATAGCGGTGTTATTCAGATGTGAATTCTAAGATAAAGAGTAAATTCTTAGACCACAAGCATAACAAGTTTGCAATCAAAAAGTAGTAACAAAAATACCGAAAACCAATGTGAATTCAATTGATAGATTGATTGGTTAGTGTTTAATGCCACGTTCTGCAATTATGTGTTATTTCATGTCGGTCAGTTTTTTTAAGAGGAAGTTGTTGTGCCCGGAGAGAACCACCGACCTTCGGCAGGAAAACTGACAACCTCAGTCAAACTATGGGAATCAATTGTAACATTAGAATTTATCAATCAACAGATCTAATGGAAAAGAAGCCATCTAAATTTGATCTTCCCACACTTACGCTTATTTTTTCACCTTGATTTGTCTCTTTTTTGTCGATTTATGAGATTTGAATACCGATAAACTATTGTCACCTTCATGTACATTACTATGCTACGTGCTCATTTGATGGGTCAACTACATCGTCTCAATAAGCGGAGACAATGATTGTCGAAATGTGCATTGAGTGCAGTAAGATTTTGTTAATTTAACTCTTAAAACTACTGTTTATCAGATTTAAAGGTTCTACAAACTATCCGCTTTTCTTAGTGAAAGTGTACACGTTCCTTTAAGGTAGCACACAAAATATAATATAGAAATGACATCATGGACCTCTTGATTGCAATAGTAGTTTGATAATTTCTTTTCTGAAATATTATTATTATGGTGTTTCCGAAAAGTAACTTCAGTTTTGGGTGTGATCCTGCTCAAATACGGTTTCAAATTATTATTATAATGCCATTTTATTCAACGTTGAAAAAACGAGTAACTTTCTCTTCCAACATTAACCTAATGAACGTATATGACGTCACGAGAACGGAAGAAAAAAGGGTGCAGGTATTAGATATGCACAACCCAATGTTCTCGTAAGAAAAATGTAGTTATCTATCATTATTAATTTATATAAATATTGGTTGATCAATGGTCAGTAGAGATCACTGTATTTAATTATGCATAACGATCAATGTCGAAGGCCTTATATTCGATTTTCTCTGTCATATCGACGTTTGTTTGTATGCGGTGGATAGTAATCACACTGTTAATCATCTCCTATTAGATACTCATATCGCGTCTGAATGTTCTGGGTCTCTCACAATTAAGTTCAGTTATACCGTATTACTTTCCGAATCTGGTAAATGTGAAAAATACATATAATTATCCCGATAAGCCAATGTCACAAATAAAGACAACAGTAATATACCGCTGTTCAATCGTTTTGATAAAGACAAAATAGACTTTTAACGAGCATGTTATCATATAGTTGAGAGTATTTCGTGTAGTTTTTGTTAGATGAATCTACACAATGTTTAGATTTAAGTTATACTAAATATACATGCTTAATGATTGTGCCTAAAAATTAATATTCTTTTTCAGTTTTGAATTTTGCTAAATCCACAAAGGTTTGTCAAAATTATACCCAAGTTATTAAAAATTAAGGCTTCCACTTACTTTCTCTATGATGTTTTTTTTTAGATTTTGTTCATTTATAAAAACGCCTGGTAAGCCATCAAATCTCAACCAAATGGTTAATCGAAAAAAGTTTACTGGCACTTACTGATGAGCTTTTTTGATACAAGACATCCAAAATATAGATAGGGTAGGTCAACTTTTCATCAATGTGTTGTCAATCTGTCAAATATTTTATTAAATCGGAGAATTTCATTCCATAGCGGACTGAATGACGGCTTGATTCCATCATTACTCATACCTTTGTGATTTGAAATGACAACGGAATGACTTTTCTCCCACAACTACCTACCCTACCTATATTGTGGATATTTTGTACAAAGGCTCAACAGGAAGTGCCAAACACTTTTTTCTCACTTAACCACTTGGTTGAGATTTGATGGTTTACAAGGCGTGATTAAGTTCATTGTTTACATGAATTCGTTAAGTTAAGTATTCAATTCTAATATGACGTGCTTCTTTCGCTTTGTAAACAACACCGTGATAAAATTCTTGATATATCTATACTTAGCGCAGACTCAGAGATATACATAATAATTGATGTTACAATATACCTCCCTCGTAAATCCACATGTATTGGAACCTATTTGCAAACGCTATGCCGATTTTATTGTTTTAAAAATCGCAATTGAAAAAAGACTACAGAACTTTAATCCTTATTCGGATGCATAACAAAAAGAATTAAAGCACAAGAGCTCGGAGAAATCTACAAAATCAAAATAAAATAAAATTCCGCGAAAGTCCATTAATGCTTTTGGCGCATTTAAGTCATTTCAAAACATGACGTCATACAAATGAAAACGCTAAAGCTGAAGTTTTTTCCGTTACGTGAACCATCGAAATTCGTAAAATATTACATTAGAATGGATTTTTGAGGTAGGTTTTGTTTTATTTTCTATTTTATTGCATTATTCGCATATATACTGATTTCAGCAAGTCGACATGGTGGCTCTTTAGTTACGAAATGTCAACTTTGGATGTAACATGTAAATTACAAATGGCAATGTTGGGTTTGAGAATTAAAAGAATTAAACACATTTTTTCTAGCGGTTGTTTACGAAATAATTCATGCAAGCTACAGATTTATTAGAATGTTTTAGCTTTATCTAACAGGGAGTAAAAAAGAACAGCCAAACACACGGCACACCCACCCTCGCTTCAGTTTTTTAATGGCCGAATTTGCCCTATTAAAACCGAAATAATTCATGGAAGCAATAGATTTGTTGTAAATTTACACATGGCTTTGGCCGTGATATTAGTTAATTTTTATCCCTCGCTAACGCTCAGGATAAAATTCGAATATCACGGCCCAAACCATGTGTAAATTTTCAACAAATCTATGGCTTTCATGAATTATTTCTTAAATAACGGCGATCCTGAGAAGAATAAATCAAGAAAGACGCTTACAAAAAAATTGTAAGACAAGAATATGTTGGTGCAATGGCCGTAAATAAAATGTTTGATTCACCTGCTTCCGTATACTATCTATACGTTGCTTGTACTGTGATGCCAAAAGAGCCTTTCTGTCTTCTTTACTTTGGGATAGAGCCACATACAAAGGTTTGGCTACAATAATCCTACCATCCATTTCTGTGACTGCCTTAGAAGCATCCTCTGGAGAACTAAAACACACAAATCCAAATCCTTTGGATCTTCCACCTTCTGTCATTACCTTAAAAGAAATGAGAGCTTAATCGTGAAATTATTTTTAATGTGCATAAGTAGAAAAGATGGATATAGACTTTTTGAAATTAAGTCAAATGACACTCTAAGTAGATATTCATTACACACTTTAAAAAAACATTTTTAAAGGAGTATAAACACTAACACTGAAACGGGAAATGTTAATTGCTACATACCACTTTACAGTGCTATTGTAAATCCATTTAAGGATGTAATTAGGTGAGGTTTTGGAATTTGTGTCAGATGTTCGGACTCCTTGGTGTTTTTTCATTCCATACAAGTTAACATATTTTGCCCCATAACACCTATTTATCTTTTAATATAAGACTTAATAGCTCATAAAAGGTCATTTGACAAAAGTTAAGCAGATTCTTGATATTCTTTCTTTAGATTTGAGACCAAAATAATACCAATGCAATTATAAGGTAAAAGTCCGAGTCAGCCTTTTCCCCGCCATATTTTATAAATCAAATATCTCGAAAAAGGAGCTTCATGACCTATCAATATTTTTAGCTTATTTTGATCCTTAACTAATACTCTTCCAGCTTAACGTATCAATCTTAGATTCTTGATTTATTTAATTGAACCTAAGATCACCTAAGTACATCCTTAACTCTTTTTGTACAGAGGCCATATGAAGGGAATTGTTTAAAATGAGACCAGTTGTTGAAAGCAGTTATTAAAACTAGGAATAAAACAAATGATACTAAGTACCGTAAATATTTTCGCATGCTACAAATAAGTTTGCTGTGTCCATCAATTTTGAACTGCGTACATGCAAAGATTGTTTTTCATCAAATTTAAGTAGGATCACTTATTTGAATAAATATATTCTCGTTTATCCCTGAACGGACTTAATTGATTAACACACTTGGTAACTTTTATTTTATTATCAAGTAAACGTAACAAATTTGCTAACCAGTAGAATGTGTCGTGTCTCTATTACTATTCATCGAAGTACTAAATCTTGAACAGCCGTCTGATTTGACATTTATCAGACTATATTTATTCCGATTGTTAAATATGAATTGAATTTGGATTGAAAGCGGATGAAGTCTGAATTAAAGGAGACGTTCGCTCTGTCACCTCTTCGATCCCATTCCTTTCAGGTTTTAAGAATACCTTTATCTTCTATTATTCGGTTTGAATATTTCTATTATTTTTTCCAGTTTTGAATATCGGCAAACTACTGCTACATCTTATTTGATAAAGCTTCTAAATGTGTATAACTATTAAATCATATGTTTTATTCCCATTCAAAGTATGAATTACTATACAATCATATGTTATATTACCAGTAAAAATGGAAAAAAATAGAATATGGGGTATTGATTAGTGACAAAATATCAGAACATGTTCAACCAAAAACACACAAAAATGTAACATGTAGCGCTTTTCTTGCTGTTCTCTATGTCAAGGTAACTATGAACACGCTTGATTGCAACTTTTTAATTTAAACTGAGGACAGTACAAAAAATGTTAACGTCGAATTCATATACCATGAACCATTTTATTACAAATTTTAGCGCTACAAATGCCTTCCATGGAGAGCAAATTGGTTATGTAAAGCACCTACTATCATTTTTGATGTCAGTTTGTACTGTTGAGTCTTTTTTTTTCCAGTGCATTTTTTGGAAGACTGATGTTCTTCAGGGTTTTTTTGTCATGTTATTTTTCTACTTTTCTTCGTGTTTAGATTTTTTATTGTTCTTTTGTTTGTTTGTTTTTCTTTTGTATAATTGATTAGGCAGAGACATCTTACAGAAAACATTATAAAACATATAAATAATTTGATTAATTTGTTGGGATTAACTTTTTCAGTTACTATTTGATGAATTCAGCAAATATTCCAAATTTTATTTTAGACTATTACTATTTCATGAAAATTAATTTTAGTTTGTATCCCGGATTTGTTTTCTCTCAATCGATGTATGAGTTTGAACAGCGGTATACTACTGTTGCCTTTATTTGCCACATCAGATATACTTTATATGCTTCAGTTTCTGAGATATAAGCCAAAAAATGTATTTTACCCCTATGTTTCATTTTTAGCAATGGCGGCCATGTTGTTTAGGAGGTGGGGTGGTTGGACACATTTTTTTTAACTAGATACCCCAGTGATGATTTCGGCCAAGTTTGGTTAAGTTTGACCCCGTATACTAGTATTCAGAGGAGAATATTTTTGTAAAAGTTAACGGACGACGGACGACGGACGCCAAGTGATGCGAAAAGCTCACTTGGCTCAGAAGACCAGGTGAGCTACAAAGGTATATAGATGATTTATTGGTTTAACAATCGAAAAAAGTCCTCTAAACTAAAATGATGAATACCTTAGCACTGGTAATCGTTCCAAATTGAGAAAATTCTTCTTTCAGCCTTTCATCATCTATGTTGTCGTCCAAGTTTTTTACATACACGTTAAGGTTTCTTGATTGATTCTTTAGTTCAGCGTGACGCTCTGCTTTATTCTGTGCTCTTCCAACAAAAAAAGTGTTGTTTCCTATAATTGCACCATTCAGTTCTTCGACAGCCTGTTGAAGGTTTTAATTAACAAATGAAAAGGTAGAATGTATACAACTTATGATTTTTTTTATGATATCGAACAGTTCACGTGCTTTCATAACTGAGATCGCTTAACTGAATACTACTCTTTGCAAGAGTTATCTCATCGATCACTGTTTTTTTTGTGTCTGCTACTCCTTCGCAACCATTATAGGTAACGATAAAATTATTTCATCAATTTGCTCGTGATATTCTTAGGATGTTGCGATTGGTTTGGACCGAAGCGTCCCGAGACTCCATATGACAGTTCTTTCCCCTTAAGCATTGGATACATGTGATATGCATTCGTTACTGGTAAACCATAAGTAATAGAGACATAAGGTCGATTGATTTGAGGTCCTTGGTCCAAAAAACATTGGTCATAGTCAAAGGTCAAATTCACATTCTAAATTGATTGTGATTTTGGCTTATTTGCACTGTTTTCAAAAACCGTATAAGATAACGACAACATATCTTTACTAAATTGTTAGTTGCGACATGTTGTAACACATCAAGAGTAGTTGAAAAAGTACGAGGACATATAAAGGCAGTTTTCTCCCTTTTTATATGTTAAGTTATGTGTATGGTGATATAACTCGTTAACCATATATGATTAAGACCTAAGGTATTTTGATTTGAGGTCCTTGGTTTATGACCTTGAAATTGAGGTCAAGGTCAAAGTTGAATTTTAGGTTCTAGATTTTGACGTTTGCCTTTACTTCATATTCATACGTGCTAAAGCAAGGGATTTTTGCATGAGGCTGCAAGTCAAATGACCTTGAATTATCCAACAGGTATCTACCTTGCGTAAACCGGAAGTAGCTTTTTTTGTACTTATTTAATGTTAAAATATATAGAACAATATATTTTTGGAATCAGTGTCAAGTTAACTATCAATGTAACCAGAAATGACATTTTTTAAACCGGAAGTAACAAACAATATCCCTTATTTCCTACAAAAATGTATGTATATATATATTATTATTATTATCACTAGTATTACTATTATTATTATCATAATTGTGACAATATGATGGGCTTAAATATATTTTTATATATATAGTAGGTAAGTAAGTAAATTATTTATTATAGTGACATGTGTAAATATGTACAGATTATAAACATACAATATATGATGAATATTAATACACCCCGCCCAATGGACCTATAAGTCACCTCAAATGAAATTAAATAATTATAAAACAATTATATCACGTTTATGAAATTATCTTTTTGTTGTCGAATGTTAATTTTAAAAAATATAAAGATATTAAGCTATTTGTAAACAGAATTGCGTTTTTTGAAATATGCCTGTACGATGTATTTGGCTAGTTTTCGAGTATGACTTATAATAAAAAAATAAGCTTTTCATTATTGTCCATAGATATAAAGGAAGTAGTTAATAAAAGTTCACCAAACACATGTTCTTGTATATCAGAATTAATTCTACAGTCTAGTAAAAAATGAGTTTCAGTTTCGGTCACGTCTGCAATGCAAAATTTGCAGAGTCTTTCTTCTGATCTTTCACCTATATATCGTCCTGTTTCAATCCTCAGAGGTAATATTCCACATCTGAAATGTGCTAAATGCGAGCGTTCGACTTTGGTTAAATTGATTTTTACATACTGTTCTTGATTAAAGGCAGATTTGAAAGTTATATAAGTACGAAGTTTTGGCACTTGTTGTATATTATCATTCCATATGTTTGAATAAAGGCGCTGAATGTTCATTTCTACAGTTTTCAAATTAATAGCAGTTTTTGAATCAAAATAATGTTCTTAATTAAGTTTACAGAGAATGTCTTTCAATTCGCTACACCAATTGTCGGTACAACGGTTATAGTCTGCATTAAAAGCGAGCTTCGTTATGCGATCATCTTCAAACTTGAGTAGTCTGTTCCAATACCTCACCATGTTTGACCATCTTCGAAACTGGCTTGAGATCCATCCAACATCCCCATGTAGGGCGAGAGTAGGCGCAAAACGGTGAACACCAAGAACATATCGTATTGTACGGTTTTGAAAATTGTCTATTGTTTGAAATTTTCTGTATCCCCAACACTTGAGGCATAATCTAAGATAGGAACTACACACGAGTAATACAGTTTTTCGTAGGCATTAAATCCGAAGTCTTTATTGTTGTGAATTTTGGATATGATCGTCCCTAGTGCTATCCCACCGCCTTTCGACAAATTTTTCGCATTGGTTATGAAATTTCCGTTATTACCGATTGAAATCCCTAAATATTTCTAATTTTCGATCTTCTTCAATTTGTTTTTTCCAACTGTGAATTCAAAATTAGTTTCTTTAGTTCTTGGTTTTCTGAAATGAATACATTTAGATTTATCTGTATTGATTAACACCCTCCAACGTTTACACCATTGGTGAAGTGTATTCAACATACACTAAAGATCCTCTGCCGACTTTGCAACTAACTCTATATCATCCGCATACAATAATAATGATAACTTCGTTTCAAGTAAGTCTACCCCAAGATTAAGGTAATTAATTTCTTGGACAAGATCGTTTATAAATATGGAGAAGAGTGTCGGCGATAAATTATCTCCTTGTTTCACACCAGTTTTACTGCAAAACCACGATGTTAGTTTACCGTCAATACGAACACATAACTCGGAACTTTGGTATATACTTTTTACAGAATTGTACAACTTCCCATCAATTTTATTCAGCAAAAGTTTGTATAACATCATATCTCTGTCAATAAAATCAAAACATTTCTTCAGATCGACGAATGCAACAAATACTGATTTATTATTTCTAATAACACTATTCAAAGTAAATATATGGTCTTCACATGATCTATTTTTTTCTAAACCCATTTTGTTCGTCGGCAAGACTATCATTATTTTCAAGATGACTGAAGAGCCGTTGATTAATAAAAGAACTATACAATTTGCTAGTGCACGACAAAAGACTTATACCTCTATAGTTCATTGGTACTCGGAGATCTGATGATGGGTCCTTCAATATTGGACATATGATGGCTTTTCATCAGATGGTTGGAATTATACTGGTGTCAAATATTAGTTGGAAGAGTTGTTGCAATGTTTGAATGATTATCGGGTACTTTAAAACGCCGTACGGAATTTGGTCGGGTCCACTTGCTGATTTTGATTTTGCATACATTACTATATTAGTTATTTCATCAATCGTAATATTAGAGTTTAAATCCTCATTCGGCATAAACAATGGATCTTCCATTTTAGATTCCAATAACTGTTTATGAACTTTTGACTGATTATAATGGTCGTTTTTAAATTCGGTGTTGTTTTTCCCGTTGTAAAGACTTTCAAAATCGATACGCAATTGGTTAAGTACGTCCTTCTCGTTCGTTAAGACTTCACCAGATTCATCAACGACTTCTATCGGAATATATCCTTCACATTTCTAGGACCATGCTTTCTGATCTTTTCCTAGAACTCGTTAGGATTCGTTGTTACCATCTTCAAACAGTTTTTCTTACTATCGTCTGAGAGTTATCTTCCCTTTTGTATTTAAAATAATTGATATGTAAATGCATCACATACCATGTGGATGACACATGTAGATACTTATGATATCTTGATTTGAAGTCCTTGGCATACCAAAAAGAAAATGGGATCAAGAACAGAACATTATATATTTGCTGCAACTCATTTAAAGCCTTCTTCTCTAATGAGAAAGGTAAATATGCTAGATATACTTACTGGAGGTGTGATGAGATGATCGAAGCTGTTAATTTTCTCCTTGATAATATTTATGTACGTTTCGGCAGCAAAGTTTATCGACAGGTTGTAGGTATTCCCTTGGGCACTAATTGCGCCCCTTTAATAGCAGACTTGTTTTTGTACTGTTATGACCAAACTCAGTATAGACCCGTCTAAATTGCATTTAATTGAAAAATTCAACTACACTTTCCGTTATCTTGATGATATTTTTTCGTTAAATAATCAAGAATTTTCTCAATACACTGCCGAAATTTACTTAAAGGAACTTACTTTAAATAAATCAAATTTAAACGGTAACAACTGTCCTTTCCTAGATTTTAATATTTCGGTTTTACACGGGAAACTCCACACCAAAATATACGACAAAAGGGACGATTTTTCGTTCCCGATTGTTAATTTTCCCTTTTTGGATGGTGATGTTCCTTTGCCACTATCTTACGGTGTTTATATTTCACAACTCGTTCGTTATGCCCGTGTCTGTTGTGACGTTTCTGATTTTAACGAATCTAATCTATGTATTACTGGTAAATTATTAAGCCAGGGATTTCGTTACCACAAATTACTTAAAACCTTTACTAAATTCTTCCACAGATATAAAGATTTGGTTTTGAAGTTTGGTTGTTCCTGTAGAAAACTTATTTCAAATGGGATTGCATATCCTCATTTTTACGGCAATACTGTTTACCGTGCCCGGAAATTTAGAAACGATCCTGGTAAACTTATCGATTCTTTAAATAAACTTATTCTAAAAGGTTACCAATTCAACACTGTAATTAGATCATTAAATATTGTTTTTATTGGTACTAATATTGATTTTGTTATCAGTAAATTAAAAGCAAACTAAATATTATTTTATATACATAAACACATTCATGGATCTACGATCTGTCGGTACCTGTATCTTGGCATTGCACAAGGGCATGTTTTTCTCTGACTGTTTATGACGTCTTTACACTAAATCCATTGGATGTTGGATGTGTACGGATTGATAATTTAGTCTTAGATGCATGAATTTTTTTATTAGTTGTTAGTGGCTTTGAACTAGCTGTCAGTAACTGTGAGTACTCTCAGATCTGTACTTAGTGTCTTTTTGTTGTTTGGATGTACAAGTACCCGGCTACATCCACTAGTATTTGTAGTATTGGTATTTTTATTCATTTAATGAGTAAAGCCTCTTTCAACTGATTTGTATAGTTCGTTCTTATGTTGTGCTGTCCCAGGTTAGGGGAGGGTTGGAATCCCGCTAACATGTTTAACCCCGCCACATCCGTATGTATATGCCTGTCCCAAGTCAGGAGCCTGTAATTCAGTGGTTGTCGTTTGTTTATGTGTTACATATTCATGTTTTCTCTGACTGTTTATGACGTCTTTACATTAAATCTATTGAATGTTGGATGTGTACGGATTGATAATTTAGTCTTAGATGAATGATTTTTTTATTAGTTGTTAGTGGCTTTGAACTAGCTGTCAGTAACTACGAGTGCACTCAGATCTGTACTTAGTGTCTTTTTGTTGTTAGGATGTACAAGTACCCGGCCACGTCCACTTGTATTTGTAGTATTTGTATTTTTATCCATCTGACGAGTTAAGCCTCTTTCAACTGATTTTTATAGTTCGTTTTTATGTTGTACTGTTATACCATTGTCCCAGGTTAGGGGGAGGGTTGGAATCCAGCTAACATGTTTAACCCCGCCACATTCTGTATGTATGTGCCTGTCCCAAGTCAGGAGCCTGTTATTCAGTGGTTGTCGTTTGTTTATATGTAACATATTTGTTTTTCGTTCATTTTTTGTACATAAATTAGGAGTTTAGTTTTCTCATTTGAATTGTTTCACATTGTCATTTTGGGGCCTTTTATAGCTGACTGTGCGGTATGGGCTTTGCTCATTGTTGAAGGCTGTACGGTGACCTATAGTTGTTAATTTCTGTGTCATTTTGTCTCTTGTGGAGAGTTGTCTCATTGGCAATCATACCACATCTTCTTTTTTTATATACAACGTCATTTTCTTGATTTTTACTTTTGCTTTCATTGTGTCGCCATATTATTTTATACTTCAGAAATATAAACAAAAGAACTAGTTCTAAATGTTTGCATTTTTGGGATGAACATATGAAAGTTTAGTCTGAAACAATTCATTAACATCATATAGGCCTCTGAAATGTCGAAATTTAACGTTAATTGATTCTTACTTCAATTCGGTACATGATTAAGACATGTTGTCTTTTGCAAAATGTTTGATGAAAACCAAACGTAGCAAATTATCTCCCTTATGTCAGGTAAAAGTATATAAACCCAGATATATTTGAATCGGTGTATCTTTAACTTAAAATGGTATCACATGAGAACAAAAGTGACATTTTAAAACAGGAAGTAGCAAATCTCTGTCATTTCAGCCATATAACATTGAAACCTTTTATATTTTTAGTTAATATGCATGAAGAAACCTATATTTTGACGTATGTATATGAATATAAAGTTAAAGTACACTGGAAGTAACTTCTTATAAATAATTCAGATATAAAATGGAATAAAATACCTTCTCTGAACACTTGTTCTTTAATTATTTTTGTTTTTCTTTGGATATGGATACGTAAACTTCCCGATTTTCAATTGAAAGAAACTTACAGTCTGAGCTTCGTCAGCATTTTCATAACAAACAAACCCAAATCCACGACTTTTCCCGTAGACATCTGTCATTATCTGTTAAAATATTAAAGGGAACATATCGTAATACTATAGTCAAACAGGTTAAATGCTTTTACTGTTTTTACTCTTTTCTGTTTTACTGCAGAAAAAAACTACAAAAAATTCATTAAAACTTTTTAGAAATTTATAATTATTTTTAAGATTCTTGAACAAATATCTCAGTTGTGTAACCTTGGGCATCACCTACATGTCTGTTTATGTAAACATATGTATTTGTTTGTGTTGTTATTGTTCTTCCTTTTATGTACATGTTATCTGGATGTGGATATGTAGATATAGAAAAATATCAGCCCGCGAGCCAGAATATGAAGCTAAATGTCGAGTGAGCGTAGCGAACGAGCCATTTAGCTTCATATTCTGTCGAGGGGGCTGATATTTTTCAATATCTATACAATCCACATTAAGATAACATTTTTATCATCTTTCAAAGCAATGTTTTTTATCAAAATTTCCTTTTTCAATAATTTCGCGGGAATTGTTATTACCAGAGTGTCTCTGTTATCACTAGGCAACACACGTCATCAAAATATTAAACCTTGTGGCCAAAATACGCAGGGTAAAATATTCCCATTAACTAGAGGAAGAAAAATGTTTCGTGTACATGATAATGCATATATGAGAGTATAATATTTGAAGATGATACAAAAAAAAAAAGAAATATTAAAGATTATATTGAAAGATCGTAGTATTTCATATCACCAGAAGAAGAAAATTTCTACTCGCTGACTGCTGAACAGCATACGCTTCATAAAAAAATTCCAGAAACGCATCAAAATGCTGTTTGTTTTCAAGACTAAAAGTACACATATATATTTAAGTAGTCGTAATTCGTAAAAAGTAAAATCACAAAAATACTGAACTCCGAGGAAAATTCAATCGGAAAGTCCCTAATCACATGGCAAAATCAAATGACAAAACACATCAAACGAATGGACAACAACTGTCATATTCCTGACTTGGTACAGGCATTTTCAAATGTAGAAAATGGTGGATTGAACCTGGTTTTATAGCGCTAAACCTCTCACTTGTACGACAGTCTTATCAAATTTCGTTATATTTACAACGATGCGTGAACAAAACAGACATTATAAATAAAATAGTCAAAATATGGGTACAGCAGTCATCACTGTGTTACAATATCAAAACAAACAATTATTTACAAAAAAAGCACAAAAGCATCTATCAAATTAAATAAAGGAGAAGTTAATTTGAGAAAGACAGATGTTGGTAAATTGTCCTTCTTGTATGTAAATACCTCGACATCTCGCACCTTGTACCCGCCATTTGTACGTGAGAAGACAAGGAAGGTAGGTGTTATTTTTGCAACGACTACCCCACCAAATTGCATTGGGACGGTATTCTGGTTCAGGTTATGGGGTACCATTTCCTATAAGTGCTTTGCCAAATGTAATCATTGAGGAAAACATATTTGGTTCAAACATGTCAAAATTTTCCGTCAGATATTTTCTTCTGTATTGACAAATATTGAAAAAACAGAACCAGATCACCTGGATTTTTGAAATATTATACAAAATTGCTTTGCTGCATTCTGTTTGTCCATGTACATTGATATATCATTCTTTTGATTACTTGGAGTTAAAATGACAAGGTACATTATGTTTATGATTCTTGAAAAAAAATATGCTTTCAGTGTATTCAACTAGGTAGCTCAGGGGTCAGAGCATCTTTTTATGAGAAGGTCTTAGGTTCAAATCCTAACTTAGTTACACTGAAACAGTAAATACTATCAATGGAATCTTAAAATGTTTTACATGTATTGATCATTTAATATTTTGCCCCCTTCAGTCTATTTCATGTGAATTATCAATGTACATATACAGATATAGCCAATATATATGATTTACACCATTTTTCACAACAAAAACATTAAATTGTGACTTTTTGTGGAATTTTTCAGGATACCAATTTAATATGCAGTGAACATGATAAACAATTGTTGTATGTGTGCTTTTTTTATGAAACAATTATTTTTCTTTGTTTTACAAACAATTTGAGAAAACTTGGTATATGTAATTCAGGCTCAAATAATTTGACATTAGTGATACATGTATGTACATGCAATCAGTTTGACTTTGACTTTCATTTGCTGAATTTCCCCCGAATTGAAGTAAAAAATGTCTGTTTGATTGGTCTTCAAATGCATTATCTTTGTCAGTAGCCATTTTGTATGTTTGTATTGTTTTGTTTTGTTTTATTTTAGCAGACGAAATAAGTATTTTAGACTTTTCAGAAAGAGGGTTGTTGTTTTGTGGTAGTTTTTATCCCCTATTTTATTATTTAAAATGAAATGTTTAATCTAGAGTGTATAATATATGTGCATTTAATTAATCAATTTTTATTATAAGTTTTACTGTGAATTTTATGTTCACTATAAATGTTTTTAATAATGAAAACTGCCACCCCCGCATTGTTGACATTTGTATCGATAGATTGATCTCAATACAGGTCAGATCAATAGTTCAAATTAGGTCAAATAGTTCAGTTCTGAAAAAAGTAGTCCCGGCAGAACTTATCAAGACTGCCGTCGACACCATTTTATCAACATCTTGTTTCAGAATGTAAAGTAATTTTAGCAAAAAAAGAAATGGTTCATTGTAAAATATGTACTGCAAGTGTAATTTATTTTATTAAAAGAATTTATTTGGTGACTTATCACCATTACAATACATGGCAATATGTTGGGAGAATTTGTTGATAAGTCCTGCTCACTTGATAATGTCTCCTCACTTGCACGCGCTAACTGGATACGAGTTTAACAGATATGTTGAGGAAGCTGATATAGCGGTAGGGAAGGATGATAAAGTTTAAATATTGCTTCGCTTTTGTTGTTGATTCTTTATTTCTATTTCTTATTTCTTTAAACAGATGCCTCTCTACTGATTTGTAATATCCTTTACGTTCAATGTTGAGAAACTTTTGTACAGAAAAATCAGATGTATCTCTTTTGATTTAGTTCTTTTATGTTCATATTTTTCAACACTTACATCATATTTGAGAGCATTTGTGGAGTATTCACATCAATGTGTTGTTTTTGCATTATTGGTGCATACACCGCCTCAAGTTTGAGTCAAACTTATGACTGTTGTTGGCTTTATTTCAAGATTTATTACAGTAACTTTAACTGATCCATACCTTTTCGCTCTTACCAAAAAAAAGTTCATTGATGATGCATGTATATAAATCTATAAATATTTCTGTGACAGTATCTTCGGATGTCACTGATGAGTCTCTTGTAGACGAAACACGCGTCTGACGTAAATACAAAATTTCAATCTTGGTATCTATGATGAGTTTTTTTACAACCACCTGGTCGATGACACTGCTGGTGGAGTTTTTATTACCCGGGAGAATCATATGCCCAGCACTTCTGTGTTGACATGAGTAATCACTGTTATGGTCATGATTATAAATAACCTGATACAAAACATTGAAATTTAGAAATATTAAGGTTTTCTATCTCAGGAATAGATTACCGAAGCCGTATTTGGCAAAACTTCTCGGAATTTTTGGTCCTCAATGCTCTTCAGCTTCGTACAATATTTGTCTTTTTTACGACGGGTAATTTAGCTAATATGTAATCAATTCCATCTTCATGTCTAATACAGCATGTATTATGTTATTATTCTTAATTCTACTGACATTGAAACGTAACACTAGTCCACCTAAAGCTATTTTTTTTTGACCGGCAAGGGACGTACAAAATTAGAATCCGCAAATGTGAAAATTAAACATTGTTGCGCTGATATTTAGAGAGTTTATGTATATCTATAAACTCTGATCTAAATATAATAAAAGGAAATAGCTTGTATGAATGTCATTGAGACGAGTATTCGTAAGAGATATAATGACGTAGAAATGAATAATTGTAGGTAACTGTACTGTCTTCAGCAATGTAAACGAACCCAAACCATATATCAAGCAATATAGGAGCATGACTTGACAAGTGTAACACAGTTTAATTGAGAACATCTCACTCATTATTTTAAATATCATATCGAAAATATAATCAAATAACTCAAAACTTCGGTTGTCTTATTAACCTCAAGGTAAAGATTGTAGCAGGAATAAAATGTTGTAGGTCAGATAACAAACTTAATATCAAGTTTACCTGGATAATTGAGATGCAATAAACATTAAATGACAGCATCTCTATATCTAGACACAATCAAACAGTTTTAGACTTATTCTGATGAATGGTTAAACCTTAAGGTAGTTGTTGTTGGTTTGACAATGTGGACTCTTATTTTATTTTATGGGTTTGAAAGGGGCGTAGTCGTTTTATTGATGTAAAATATTCCTGGTATTCGTTACTAATACGTAACGTGTCACACTTATCTTTTGTCTGGTTTGTATTTGTTAGTGATATATCTTTGCAGATGTCTTTTGTTTAAGAAAAACAAACATATTACATAGATTACTTGAGATTCTTCTCGGACGCGTTTCAAAAGACACTTCATTGAATTGATACAGTAAGGAATTTATGTCAACTTAATTAGAATTAATGCATATATCATGTAAGTAGATCCTGAAAAATCACTTCAAAAGCATTAAGTTTAAAAGTGTTGTATTCATTTTACCATAATCATAAACTTAAAATGTTATCTTATCTTATTTAAATGATCTATCTGCATGCAATCAGTCAAATATATTTCATATTCACAAGGTAATTTGGTATACAAACCTTTAAACTGATAATGTTCCCGAATGGCTCAAATATATCTCTCAATTTTTCTTCCGACAAATTTGCAAAATTCTTAAAGTATAGATTATTAAACTCTTTCTTATCCTCCTGGATTTTGTGGTCACTCATTTCCAAAGTAAGAGACCTAAAATATTTATTATACAGTGTTGTTGACTATTTGATTATTTTTAGGCTTTGTTACAGCATTGAATGATAGCAGATTTTTAAGTTAATGAAATCTTAGTATCATCACCATCACCATCACCATCACCACAATCATCATCATCATCATCATCATCATCATCATCATCATCATCATCATCATCATCATCATCATCATCATCATCATCATCATCATCATCATCATCATCATCATCATCATCATCATCATCATCATCATCATCATCATCATCATCATCATCATCATCATCATCATCATCATCATCATCATCATCATCATCATCATCATCATCATCATCATCATCATCATCATCATCATCATCATCACCATCACCACCACCACCACCACCACTACAACCACCACCACCACCACCACCACCACCACCACCATCATCATCATCATCATCATCATCATCATCATCATCATCATCATCATCATCATCATCATCATCATCATCATCATCATCATCATCATTATGATCATTCATACAAACCTCCATACAAACGTTCTCAAAGGTCAATGGATACAAAGTATACATACACTTTCTTCCCATTTATTAACATTCCATTGACTTTTTCGATTGCATCTTTTGCTTGCTCTTCGGTTTCATAATGTACAAATCCGTATCCACAGGATCCATGCTCATCACAGACAACCTTTTAAAATAAATATTTGGATAAATTAAAAAAAAATATAAAATAATGATTCTTGGCTAAAGAGTATAAAAGACAGAACAATTCGAGCAGGCAATCAAAAGCAGAAGTTGGTCTTTTCTTAATTACCATACTTGGTGGAATAGTTTCAATGTGAAAGGCATTAAGGGGACCCAAAGTATTTCAGTCCTCGGCCGTTGGTCTTCTAATGATCAGTATTCACCCCCTTTTGTAATACGTCATATTACTCTGGTGTCTAACAACTCATTAATAGCAGGTTTTAAAATAATAATGAAAATAGTAATATTGATAATGATGATGATGATGAGTAAAACGAATGCTTTACCTTACACGATAAAATATTCCCAAAGACACAGAAAGTATCATATAATGTTTTATTGTCAACGCTTCTGTCAAGATGTTTAATAAATAGGTTACTGCCACCAGATTTCCTCGTTACTGGATCTTTTCCCAACCATAATATTCTCATTTTCCGTCCTTTTATAATGTCAAAGTTCATTGTGTCAGTGGCTCTTTTGGCTGCAAAATATATTATATAATATCAACTTCATTTTGATTAATAAAAATGCGTTTCAAATTAGTTCATACACGTCGACTTCGTCCATATGTTCTTATATCTTCAAAACAAACAACGTCCTCTGAATTTCTTGCATTCGTTTTGTTCAGTACATAAAATTCATAGATAAAAATATTTGGTTGTTTATTTTAAATATGTTACCAATTATAAAACTCATTAAAAATACAAGGTTTATAATTGTGTACGCCAGTCGTTCGTTTCGTTTTTAAAACATTCACTTTTGACTCTCTAATTACAAAATTTATAAGACCAATCAAGTATAAATTTAAAGAGTTTTGAGGCACTAATAATTCGTAAGGGTTATTCAAATACAGCTACAGCTCGTAATCCAATTAAGCTTTTTAAACGTTGTACAGAAATTCTAAACCTTATTTTTTAATTGTCAGGATCTATCATTTCCTTATGAGAGTATAAAGAGCTCTGTATATTTTTTTGTCGTTTTAGTTTTGTAGCTGGTATAGCTACATTATCAACCATTACTGATGTCGTCGCTCATTTTAAAGAGATTCAGGTTGAACCATCTATAAATTCCATTTAATTAAAATGCATTGTTTTGATTTGTTTTTTTTTTTATTGACTGTTTCAGTCTGTGAATATGATTGTAACACAATGTTGGCTGCTGTGTCCCAGTTTTTGACATGTTTATCTGTTTGTTTTGTTCACACATTGTTCTCATCGGGTGACATTTTATGTGACAGGTTTAGCTAACTATAAAACCAGGTTAAATCGAACATTTACATGGGAAAATATATGTACCAAGTCAAGAATATGACAGTTGTTATCTATTCGTTTGATGTGCTTGAGCTTTGATTGTGCCATTTCATTAGGGACCTTCCGTTTAGAATTTCCTCGGTGTTGGGTATTTTTGTAATTTTACTTTTTTTGAACGTCGTTCACAGTCTTTAGTTTAATTGATGAAATTCGATATGTATTGAATCAAATAGCATTAAACTATTTGAATAAAATGAGACATGAAATATACATGTAGGACTCAAATCTATGGTGGGTTCCAAATCTATGGCAGATTCCTAATCTATGGTAAATGTGACGTCATGCCACCCCAAATCTATGGCAGATTGTTTTACAATCCTAATCTATGGCAAGTTTTGTAATTTCCTAATCTATGGCGGTTTTTTTGTTGTTTTCAAATCTATGGCAAATTTTGTGCAAATGGAAAACAATGCAGTACATATACGACCAATGACTTGTCTTAAACAAGTGGGCATGTACAACGGGAGCATGTATATAAATATTTGAAAAATAAACATTTCATAATGGTCAACCAAATCGTGTTGGCAACCAATCAAATTCGTAAATGATGAAATCATATACCTTAATACAGACTTCAAGATTGAAATGATGTGCACCGTAAAAATAAACATTTGTTTAATCTGTGCATGTTACCTATTTAACCCATTCATTAAACCAACTAGTAAGTCCCTTATAAACAAAAAAAAAGGGGATAGTTTTTTTTATAAAACAAAAATGATAAATAAAAATGAACAGTTTGAGTTTTCAAATAATATTTACTTCATCGTTAATATCATTTTTATTTGAAGACGATTTAAATCAAATTGGTATCCGGTAATTTTATCTTTCACTTTATAAACTTTGCCAGCTGTAGACAGTAAAATATTTACTATAACTCCTTTTCTAAAATATCCGGTACTGAAAAAAGCGGTGCCCTTGTTCATCGCGGGTTTGGGTCGGTACAGCACATTTTGTCCCTCTTCCGGATAATAAGTCATATCTTCCTTTAAACCATCCGCAAATTGTTGTCGAGGGAAATACCTTCATCTGGAATCGTGTTCAAATCTATGAGTTCCGCCAACGTTTGCGGCGGCGACGATGTAATATTGCGTTATTCTATTGTGACGTAATTTAAAGATCTGCCATAGATTTGGAGAAAACAAAAATCTGCCATAGATTTGATTTGTTTGACGTTTGTTACGTCACATTTGCCATAGATTAGGAATCTGCCATAGATTTGGAACCCGCCATAGATTTGTGTCCTACATACATGTTGTATGTTTGATGCGCTTCTGTCTTGTATAGGAGACAAATCTAACTTTATAAAACCAGGTTTAATCCACAATGTTCTACACATAAAATACCTGTACCAAGTCAGGAATATGAAAGTTGTTTTCCAGTCCTTTAGTGTGTTTGAACTTTTGATTTGTCATTTTTAAGGGTATTTCTGTTTTGATTTTTGTTGTAAAAGAGTTGGGTAGTTTTATTTTATTGATATAGCACCAGTCTTTTCAATATGAAATCTATATTATTCTAAATGACAATAAGAATGTAATATTGATTGAGTGCTAATGACACAAGTACGTAAAAGCAATTTTTTAATTACAAAAAGCAGGATGACTGTAAACTACTTTGTCTTATAGAGTTGCCGTAATACGTTGTTGCAAAATTACATAAAAAACAGAAAAAAAAATATTCCACAGCCTAAATATATCATTCAAACCATACGTTTCACTTTGAAATCATTACCATCTGCTCTGTCTTGAAAGTTAACATACGCATAACCAAGTGAACGTCTTGTGATCATATCTCTACAGACACGGATACTGAGGACTGGACCTGCTGTTGAAAATTTCTCGAACAACGTAGCTTCGGTGACATCTGGATGAAGATCTCCTACATACAATGAAGCCCTTGGGTAACTTGCACCAGCCGGATTGATATTAGTCGTCATTTTCAGAGGTTAAATATGGCGCTGTTGATTGCTAGAAGAAATTTACATGTAAACTGTATATTTCTTATTCTCATTTAATGGTGAAGGTTAAATAAAATATGTTTTGGTATTTATCCTTCTTTTTTGAATCTGTTGATGAATTCTTTCAGTTTTGTTTCTTGTTTTTAACAATTTGGGGTTTACCTAAAAGAGGGACGAAAGATACCAGAGGGACAATCAAACTCACAGATCGAAAACAAACTGACAACGCCATGGCCAAAAATAAAATGACAAACAGACAAATAATAGTACAAATGACACAACATAGAAAACTAAAGACTAAGCAACACGAACCCCACCAAAAATGGGGGTGATCTCAGGTGCTTCGGAAGGGTAAGCAGATCCTGCTCTACATGTGCACCATCATGGCACCCGTCGTGTTGCTTATGTCATTACAAATCCGGTAAATAGTCTAATTCGGTAGGTCACATTCGTGAAAATGGAAGGGTATTGTAGTTACGACATAAGGAACATATCCGATATCATCTGAGAAACGGTTATTCTATAACGGTTAACCAACTCGTGATGGCGTCCTTAAAATTTACGAAGGGATGATTTCAACTTCACCATTTGGAACTCTTGGTTTAATAGCTTCCTTGTGAGCAGCAATCCTCTATCAAGGAAATCATGATAGGAAATACAAGCCCGGGAATATCGTATCAATTGAGAGATATATACTCCGTATGCAGGCGCTGCTGGAATGTTGCTACATAGAAATGGAAAGTTCACAATTGGGAAGCTGAAATCATCTCTTTTGTCGTAAAGTTTTGTTTTCAACCGACCCTCATTGTCAATTTCTAGATGTAAGTCAAGATATGAGACAGACTTAACTGTATCTGTAGTATCCTTTATCTCTAGTTCGATGGGATAGATTCGTTCAAAATAGTCACCAAATTTTGTATTATTTAGTGAGAGAACATCATCTATATACCGGAACGTAAAGTTAAAGGATATTGCTGACTTCTTATCTTTCTTCCTAAGAAGTTCCTGTATGAAGTCAGCCTCATAATAATAAAGAAACAAGTCGGCAAGAAGAGGGGCACAATTGGTTCCTATTGGAATTCCGACAGTCTGTTGAAAAACACGTCATCCAAACGTAACAAATATGTTGTCAATCAAGAAATCAAGCATCTTGATAATGTCAGTTTCAGAGAATTTTTTGTTACAATCAGAGTGATTCTTTACAAAGTATGATTTATCCCTCCCCAAGACAAGATAATTGTATATGCGTTCGCCATTCTTTTTAATGAAACAAAGTAATACCAACTCTTTCAATTTGTCTTTTAGTTTGGAATGGGGAATACTTGTGTAAAGTGTAGAAAAGTCAAATGTTTTAATACTATTGCAAGATGAGAGAGTCTTAGATTGTATGTACTCTAAAAGATCTTTGGATTTTTTTAGTATCCACATCAGATTCACGCCACCTCTAGAATAGGGAGTTTCACAATAACTATGGAGCCCGGCCTTGATTGCTGATAAAATAGATGTTAATAATTTAGAAAGAGGTTTCGTGAAGCACTTGGAAGACCCAGCAATATACCGTTGTTTGTAGGGAGACTTATGTAGTTTAGGTATCCAATACAGTGATGGAAGATCCAGTTCTTCATCTTTGGTTGAAATTCCAAAGGAACATAGAGCAGACCTATGATTTTCCAGGATTTCCTCTATGGTAAGTGTTGTGAGGGTATATGCTGAGTTTCCAAATGAATTGTCAATACCTATTCATTTATCAAGCAGTTTATATAATGATATTTACACACAAAAACGATGTTGTTTGTGTCTTTATCTAAACCTCGTGTATGCTTACATGGGTAACATATATAGTTTGTATATTTACTGAACAATCTTCAATCCTAGTCTTTACAATTTTGTAGTTATATCAAATCTTTTGATTTATCTACGCATTAAACTTCTATTTTTCATGGTCAACTGAGGTCGCATTAAACAATTACAATAAATCATAGATAGCTATTCTTCCATTTTTCTGGTATAGTCCTACATCTACAGTTATTTCTTTAGTTTATATTCTGTGGATCTTAATATGACGGTTTATCGGCTATGAGCACTCCAAGTAGTTTATTGTTTACGATGACAATCTACCGAGTGATAACATGAACAATAGGAACTTGTGTGATTGGAGACGATGAACAAAAGCAATTACAAGGTTTAAAATTTTTATCACGGGGGATGAAGGTCTCTTATAACTTATATAAAAAAAGAAGATGTGGTATGATTGCCAATGAGACAACTATCCACAAGAAACCAAATGACACAGAAATAACAACTATAGGTCATCGTACGGCCTTCAACAATGGGCAAAGCCCATACCGCATAGTCAGCTATAAAAGACCCCGAAATGACAAATGTAAAACAATTCAAACGAGAAAACTAACGGCCTAATTTATGCTTTACATCTTTATTTGTAGGCTTTGTTTTTTGTTAGATCAAGAACATTTCTGAAAATATGTTAAACAATGGTATATCTGCTCATACAAAATCACATATTTTTAATTGAGAAATTATCATTACCTTTTAATGTACTGTTTTTAAAAATATCTATTTCTACTGGTACCAAACCATAACAGGTTATTAGAAAGACCAATTCAATGAAATGTCAGTAAACCCTATGTTGTATTAGAAAACAAACAAGAAAAACATGCAACTCTATCAAGCTTGTAATGCAGAAATCAACAATACAGGCTACATTAGCAGATAGAAAAATAAACACTTTGCATTGTTGGCAAATGTTTCGAACACCACATATGTTTTAAGATATATTACACTTGATAGATTCAATTTGTTTGTTTGACATTCCATATAAATACTTTTTTATTTTAATATGATGTTGTAACAGGCTGAGTCCGTTTTAATAGGTACACAAGTAACATGAAGACAGATTTTTTTTGAAAGATGTATGGCAATGAAATGCCTGAATAGGCACTTATCCAGAAAGGTGATTATGATCAAGAATATATGTTGTGATTAAGAATATGATTGTAATTGAATTTAAGAAAAAAGAACTAACACTCCCCAGGCCTGCTTGAAACATTTTTTTTTCAGTAAAGATTGTTGATATTTTATATAATTCATCAAGGAGACCAAGCGTATAATCTTCTTTGTCAGATACGCGTTTCGACTTCATAAGACTCGTCAATGGCGTTCTGATCATCAACTATGGGCCAAAATAGTTAAGAAATTAGACATTTAAAATCCACCAAATTTAAAATGGTTGTGATAAATACGTGGAATTAATGTGTAGGGGTGATAGGTTATAGTTCATCAAATTAACCTGAGCTGTAACAAATGTCAAAACGGATAATATCTAGTGATATGATATAAATATATACACTAAGTGATTGTCCTCTCAGCATTTTTATTCTTCTGGTGTTTCTTTTTCCTATTTTTAAAGAGGTTTAAAATACCAAAGGAAATTTCAAAACTTAAAATTCGATATAAACAGCCTTTGTTACCCCCCAACACCCCCACCCACCTTTTCCCCCCATAAAAAATGACATATGATTAAAATGACAGAAACTTACAATAAACCAGGAAGTAACGAACACCTAATACAGTTATAATCCTTTTTTCAAATGTATTTCTGGTTCATCCACATAAACAGTATTAATTTATCTGCTTATGTGATGTATGCGCTTGATGTTTTATGTCTTGTTGTAATGTATGTATGTTTGTCTTAATATGTGTGTTTTATTTGCATGTCATTTTCCTTGAGTGTAATGTATTATAATGTCGATTTTAAAAGCTCACTAGAGCTTGTGGTAATTTGCTGACATTGTATCGACAATAAATAAAACTTTGATTTGATTTGATTTGATTCGATTTGATTTTTTGTTTCCGAAGCCCTAAAATTTGTATTGCATCATAGTCATTTGTGTTGAAGGAAATAATGTTTAAACTCTGAGATATGATTGAAATAATCACAAAGATTAGACACGATTATAATCAAACAAAGATAACATAAACATTATAATAGTAAATCCAACGTTAAACAAACTATATATAGAATGTATGTATATGAATGTATAAAATGTACAGAATAAAAAAACTATATATAAGAAACAATTTCCATACCTTTGTAATCATTCGAAAGACAGTCACATACTTTCCTGTTTGAATGAACTACTTTCGTTTTTGAATTTAATAACAAATAGTAAGAAAATAATAAAAGAATCGAAGCCGGCTGAAAAAAAAATCCGTTCTATTTATAAATGTTAAATAATACAAGTACTCGGTAAATTGTTACTGATAAGAAATAATAATATTTATATTTTACTGATTTAACCCCTAAATAATATATATATGCAATAGTTGTACATTATTGGAAAATATATAGCTTTTTGTACAAGCTCTAGAAACTGGACAAAAAGCGACGCTCTCCGATCATTTCTTTTGTTTTGTAGCGAGTACAAATAAATAAGATATTTGCCCACAATGTACAAATATTATTTTTAAATTTATTTCAGGACCGGTACTTTATCGTTTAGTTGTTTATATCCTAAAAATTATCTCTGATTATTTAAAGAAATCGATCGAGATTAAATGCAGATCGCGAAGTAGACCCCAAAATGAACTTTCAAAATCAAAATATTCACATTTCGATTTGCTCAACATGGCAGCGGGGTAACAGCAGACCTCATTTTCACAAGGGCCAATAATGCAAACAAATATTTTTGTTGTTGTTATTTCTACAATATCTGACTGATTGTAGGTTAAAAGTTATTAGCATTGCCGTTGATGTTGAAGAGCTCAGGGGATCTGTGGGAAAGTATTTGGAAACGTTATTAAAGAAAACGATGTTGATGGAGTAAACCAGATTTTGGAACAATTTAGCTCATAAAAAACTTGTGGTATCTAGAAGAATTTGACTAGATCTATTTATAAATGGGGTAATTACATTAGCTAAAACAGACAACTTGATTAAAGATATTGCCATTTTGCTGACTTAACTATGTTAATACTTTTAGTTTTTCCCCAACTGTCAATTAAACAAGGAAGACAGATAATGACCAAATCAGCAACGAATCTATAGTAAATATGTTAAAACTGAGTAGTGATCTATATGTTCAGCACAATAAACGTGTTACGCAGTCCACTTTTAATGTGAACTCATGTACGAAGAATATTCGGGTAAAAACAGGACAGAAGTCGATTCAATATGTATGTATAAGGTTGACACAAATGGACAACTTCAGTGAACAGTTTACATATATATGTACTAATTTCTTTAGACACCTACCATAAAAAAGAGACATAAAAATAGAATGCTGCTGTTTTCTTTTTATTCATTTGTTTTTAATTCGATTTTTTGGATGTGAAAGTATATTCTTGTTGTTATCTTATTTAAAGTAAATAAACTGAATAATTATTTGTAGACTATGATGCAATTAAGACATCGCGGTATGTTCCATAAATGTGTTACAATACAAACTATTCCCTCCTTGTTGGTTTCACTGAATGCAACTTTTAACACGATTCTCCCTTTTTATGAACAACGCTACAGGTGTAACGTACCCATCCTAAAACATGTTTGTGTTGCTTAATCTTTGGTAATATAATGTCTTCATGTTTCCATGAGGTCATATCGTTCTTTGTCAGTAACTTATCATAGTGTTATGTTGCCCGTTAGCTAGCTTCTCTCTCATTTTATCAATTATCCATACCATCGAATATAAAAATCCAACATCCTTAAACTGAAAACTGAAAAGTTAAGCTTGACACATTCTATTTTTGGTATAGGACCTTCATCGTAATAAAAAAAGAACACTCTTGATTTCTTCAATAAGATCAAATACTATCAAATGCATATGTGAAACTAACACAGGTTATTATCTTTTATTATAAACTGTAGCAAAAATCTAGTACATTGTACTTTAAAAATATGAATAATGTTTTGTTTTTATGGTTAGCGAAAGATTCAAATAGTTTTCTGAGAGTAACACAATACTTTATCCTGATGGGACATCTAAGATTATCACGATTGTTGCTCAGTCGTTATTTTTATGAAGTGTTGTCTGGACTTGTCTTTTCGCGAAACATGTGGGTTTTGTTGTGACATGGAGTTGTCAGTTTCATTTCGACTAATGAGTTTTCAAATACATTCTATGTCAAAAGCCAATGCTGAAAATTCATGATTAGATTTGTGAACAAGTTTTTTTGTTATGAAATTCTACAGCAAGCTGAGAATGTGTTTGCTGAAGTAACATCGTATCTCTGAGACATGCGGATTTAAACGTTTTAATAGGTATCAACCTTCACCCTTACCTGAAACAATATTGTTACATCACAACGTAGAAAGACACACTATAAAATATCAATTGAAATGGCTTACTAGCAACTCAATCAAAAGACATATAGATATTAAACTGTTTCTTGATTTGTATTACATCAACACTTAGTGTACACCTTAAATTTCTAGAGTTTCAGAAAATAATGTTACAAATGTATTACCTATATTACAGTCCGTACAGTTCTCTAAGTATTCAAGATATTCTTTTGAAGATCTGTCAGGATATCTAATGTTCAGTATATACTGTTCTTGTGTTTTCCGTCTTTCCAAACAAGCTTTGTGCATTCGTTCAAACTGACTGATTGTTAGTCCAACACGTCATTTGAGATCACCATTCCTCCATCTGAAGATTGGTAAAGTAATGGTGTAAACTTACGCTTTCCACGGTACGGAAATCGTTTTACACCGTATATTTCCCAGTACTTAAATTTCTTTACGTCATATAGACTTCCATCATCATAATTATCTGGGTTTCTAGAGTTACCGTTCATGTTGTCTGTACGATTACATGGATTCCATTGTGAATTAAATGTCTATATGCAATGAATTAAGTTTTCCATTAATGTTTATAATTATATACCGATAACCAGGTAATATTTAAACAGTCCGATTGTAAAATTTGGTTTCTACATTTTACATTTTTTAGTTACATGTTACTATAGTTAAGTTCCAAAATACGTTGTAACATATACATGATGTATTTGTGGTCACGTTTCATTGCTTCAGTTTACAATATTGTATCCACTATTCACTACAAAATGAAGTTAGATTTCCAAAGTTCAGTTTCTATAATATGTATGTATGTGTCTCAGTTTGAGGTACTATTGTACAGGTAAGTTAAAGCTAAACTTTGCAGTTACTTTGTAACATGTGTAATGGTTATCAAAGGGATTTGTTTTTTGTTTTAATATAATTGATGCGATGAATTATAATTGACAATGCGACAAGCATTAAAAGACTTTCACATTTGAGCAGAACCCATAGGGTATAAATAGGTACAAGGGACAAATATATGAAAAAAATGTGAAACAATTCAAACGAAAACACGACGGTCTTATTTCCAGGCTCGTAACTTTGGAAAGTCAACGGGGTCAACATTTTAAATTCGTAAATTGTCAATTTGTAACTAGAAACTGTGTAACTTCTAATTGCTTAATTCGTATTTATGTAACTCTTGAATTCGTGATTTTCAACATTTGTATATTGATCACCAGGTGCTACATTTGTGAAATGTTTATTCGTAGTTTGTTAATTGCTAAATTGTGCATTTATATTTTGTAAATTTGTAGATGTAAATTAGCATCTTTGCTTGAATGTTATTTAGATAATTGTATTATATACTTGTAATTCACACTTTTCTAACGCGATAATTGCTATTGGTTTTTTTTTTATTCGACATTTGTACATTCATTTCATGCTATTCTGATCGTATTGTGATAACAGATGGCGCCGCTGTCGGACTTTTGATATCTTTCGAGAGGTTACCAGTTTTCAAGTAAAGACAACGTGGATGAAGGAGGGTACATTATTGTAAAAGTGTATCAAAGAATATAGAAGTTTACAAACCATTTACGCTCTGTGTCAGGATGATTATTGTTATGTCCGACCAAAACGGAGAAGAATCCTCCGCTGTTCTTTATAACGGAAATAATAACCAGATAGTTCAGAGGAAATACATACCACAAATGTACAAATTGCAAAGTAACAAGTTATAAATTGACAGTTTACAAATATAAATTTTGCCCCCGTTAGCTTTCCATACGTAACGTTTACAAATTTTACAACCTTTAGGTATTACCAGCCTAGAAGTTATCTTTAATTTTTAACAGCTATCATTGTTTTGCTGACATTGATGTATTAATTTTCTGTAAACATGGTAAATGCACTTTTATACGATGTTGAAATATTCAAAAAACAAAGTGTTTTCTATCCCCAAAGCATAGTTTACTTCAGCCATATTTTGGGGGGTTTACGGTTTTTAATGGTTTTTAACTTCGTATATTATTTTGCTTTCAAACTGTCATTATTTGAACATATAACATATAACATAGTTGCGCCTCAATGTCACATTTCAAGATTTCTTTAAGTATAAAAATTTGTGTGGTCAAAGATCAAGGTCAACCTTAAAAAGCTTCAAAATACTCTTTGTATAAGGACAAAATTACATCATTCACTATCTGGAACATGATCGTGACATTTGACTATGTGATCTTAACTGTATGGTCCTGAACAAATCCCACCTTTTGGTTTTTTCTTCATATTAAGGTTACGGTGTTTGAATGAACACAATACTTTTAGATTTCCAGCAGTTAACTCCGGGAAACAGACACAATTTTACGAATCACAATGTGATTTCCGGATATTTGTGACACCGATATAAATTGTTAACCTGAAAACGTCATCTATTACGATATCGGAGAGATAAGTTGAAATTGCATGGTAGAAAAAATAATTAAAATGTCCATAGTTTCCTTTTCGTTATGTAAAATATGTGCACAGGCTTACTTGTTTGGATACGTGATAGACCGCACGAAGTCATTTTCCTTTCGTGTGTCCATTTGTCCTTTCTTGTAGTAAAAGAGATAACTTCCTTTCTTGAATTAAGGGAGATAACTCGCATAACTAACCCCGCACATTTTTACCACAAATTCAGCTAGAGGCGTGCAAATACGTACACTTCGACGTAAGTAGAAATACTTTGTTGATATAGAATTTCTGATATGATTTAATACATGTAATAGTTCCAGTGATAACATGGACATATCTTTCATGTCTGAGAGAATATGACATAGGAGTTTATTTAAGAATTGAATGCTTCATTTTGTAAATTCATTGGGGTGGAAAAGCGTTGACC